CTGCAGAAACGGGGATTGAAATTGATGTGGAAATTTCATCTGTGTCCTTTTCTTAAGACGCGCAGCCTCCCCAAGAAGAGCAGCCGCCACAGGCGGCAATTGAAAAAGCAGCCCCAGACATCTTTGTGATCATAAATAACCCTTATTTTTCCATCAGTAACTATGCGGATTCTTGCGCTGCTCATGCGGCTGTGTCCTTGCGGGCGCGTTTGTCTGAAAAATGGTGCTCTCCTGACTTGCTAGGTAGGAAGAACAAAAGTAAAACCATACAAATTCGAGATTTTAATTCTGACCCTTCAGATCCACAAATAGCGCAGATGGTGCTGTCTGCATGGATGCTGCATCGAGTACAGATGAATAGATTTATCGGCAAAAACAAAAGCAGAAAGATTTGGCTGGACAGTGAAATAAAAAATCTGAACCAGAAAGTTGGTACAGGCACAAGCTGCCAGAAGCCAGACGCTTTAATTCGGGAATGGCTGCCGGGAATACTGTAGAAAAATTCGTCAAAGAAGATTTGAAAAAGCGAGGAGAAATAGCTTGTCCCGTTTGTTCCAGCAATAGTTTGCTGTGGAAATGTGTTAATCTCTGTTATTGACCGTTACGGGACATTAATAGACATTAATATACGTTAATAGACGATAATGAACGATAATGACAAGATAATACCGATTATACCTGATTTCCGGCCATTACCGTTGGATTAATGTATATTAACGTTCATTACCGTTGTTTTTCCGGCTCACCTGTTCTCAGCGGTTCCGCAGAAGCCACGAGCCCTCCTTTAGAAGAAGCCTTGGTTGCCATGGCCAAGTTCACTGCAGGTGAAGTCCAGGCAGCCATGGAGAATATTTCCACGGACGGGGACGAGCGGGGCAAGGCCGTGCGTGCCCTGACCGTGGCTTGGCTATTTGATTTTTCGGCTTGAGGCTTTCTTAATCTCCCACCTATAGGGTCAACCTCCCTATTTTTGAGTTGGTGCCCTCTAGACGAGGATTTCCAGAAACACAATGCGGCAGTGCAAGTGGATGAGCACAACGTTCGTTTGTATCTGGCTTTGCGGTCTTTGAATCCCAAGGGCAGAATCACCGCTGCGTAGATCCTGCAGCAAAATCGAGTTGCTGTGAGCAGCGCTTTGATGAAGCAAAAGCTTTGGCTTGTCCCAAGCAGAATATGCAGGCTGCAGATGTGCAAGGCTTTCTGGTGGATCCCAATACCTTGTTTCCGATTGTATAGTCGCGTGTGAAGAGCTTCTCTGGTTTCTTTTTGTTGCGCGTGTTTAATAGTTCCCGTAGAAACGGTAATAATCAACATACCATTATTTTCATCCAAGGGAAACCCTTCGAAAATAATCGTTTAACATATATGTACATCCCGAGAATAATTCTTTTTAATTTATTGAAATCCAACGATATCCGATTCACAAATCTTAACGGGGTTCGAATAACATAACAGAAATACAAAGAAATATATTAAACAAGGCTTCCAAAAGATACAACTGAATTTAATTATTAATAATTAATATAAATATTTATTAAATACAAAAAATAAATTTTTATTGGTTCCTATAATTATATTATATTTTCGAAATTTCCGCCGGATATTACATAATTTAAGAAGGGGTAATACGAAAGGTAATTATATCACAGGGGACGCGGAAAATCATTCAATGCGAAAGCCGACATGCGACCAGGCCCTTTTCTGCTAATACCAAGCCTTAGGCTTGTCAATATAGACGTCATGCGTTAGCAAATCACCGCTTTGACAAAATAAAGGGAAAATTTTGGTCCAACCAAAGCATGGAGAAGCACTTACGTTTCTTTATTTTATCCGTTTTTTTGCAAAAATTAAAATAACGTGGGTTCTTTCAAATGTAAAAATCGGATATAATACGTAATAAATGGACGTCGAAAAATGCGAATTGTAAGTCGAATGATGATAATGATAATGATAATAAAGATGAAGATAAGGATGGATGATATTGATGATAAGATATTACGAAGGGGTTGCTGCGTAAAGAAATGCACAAGGCATACGACGAGAATTCACTTGGGGACGGCATGGAACTAGATATTCAGAGCAAAGCGAAGATATCTAAATCCGAAACGAGAGTACCCCCAATATGTCATAGTTGTTCATGATTTATTCCATTTAAATAGCCATTTAGAGGTATATATTGTAAAATACACGTATCGTACGGGAAAAAACAATACGATCAGTATTAGCACAAAATCCAATCTTTTTTTGTAATACCTATGGATATTCGAACCTGTTATTTTCATCGTACCGTTGGGTACTTAGAAAATGGATGTCGAAAAATCCGAATGTCATGTCGAATGATGATAGTAATAAGGATGAGAATGATGATGATGATGGTGATGGTAGTAGTAGTAGTAGTAGTTGTTGTTGTTGTTGTTGGTGGTGGTGGTGGTGGTGATGGTGGTGGTGGTGTTGGTGTTGGTGTTGGTGTTGGTGTTTGTGTGTTGTGGTTGTGTTTGTGTTTGTGGTTGTGGTTGTGGTTGTGGTTGTGTTTGTGTGTTGTGGTTGTGTTTATGTTTGTGTTTGTGGTTGTGGTTGTGGTTGTGGTTGTTGTTGTGGTTGTTGTTGTTGGTGGTGTTGTTGTTGTTGTTGTTGTTATGTAATATGGTGTAATAAAATATAATTTAAATGTTAAATAATTAAATAATTGTAGTTGTAATTATAATAATTAATATAATTTTATTATAAATAATATAGTAGTTGTAATTCTTATAATTATAGTAATTATAATAGTTATAGTAGCTCTAGTTATAATGTAGTATAGGTATAGGTATAATATAATCTAGTTGTAGTAGTAAGAGTAATATTGGTTTAGTTTAGTATAATTATAGTTATAAGTATAATCGTAGTATTATTAAATTTAATGTATATTTTAATATTTATTATAATATTTATTGTAATATTAATTGTAATATTTATTATAATGTTTATTGTAATATTTATCGCAATATTTATCGTAATATTTGTTGCAATCTAGCGTAATATAGTGTAATATAGTATAATGTTTTTTATTGTAGTGTATTGTCGTGTAATAAGGTATAATGAATTATAATGTAGTGTAATGTGGTGTATGTAGTGTGATGGAGTGTAATTGTAGTCTAATTGTAGGTATAGCAGTTCTCATTATTATGGTTTTGTTATTATTATTGTTATAGTGATCATTATTTTTGTAATTGTCGGGGTAGTGTAGTGGTAATGAAATTATAGTGTAATGTAGTGTAGTTGTAGTTGTATTTGTAGGTGTAATTGTAGTTTTATGTAGTTGTAGTTATAGTTGTTTTGTATTGAGTAAGCTCGAAAACCCTAGGTTTACGGAAAGGACATCCATAAATTTGGGAAGGTCCCATCGCTTACCACACGTTTGTACAATAATGATATATGGTAAATTTAGGGGGTATCGCTTGCAAGAAACTGCTACATTTTTTTGTATATAATTCACAGAAATCAACGTCTAATTTGGGTATCGCTAATGTGGATATTAGAGAAATACAATGACACAACCTTGAAAAGGGGCATCGCTAATTTGGGAAGGTCCCATCGCTTACCGTGTGTTTTTAGCAATATCCATCAATTTCCATAAACCAATGTCCGTCCAATACATATTTAGTATTGCCGGTGTTTTTGCGGTGGCGCTAATGTAGTGTATTGTAGTGCAGTGCAGTGTGGCGCGGTTAAATGCCCAAAAGTGGATCGAACATGGTGTATTTTCACATTTTGACTTCCACACGTACTTCGCGCCACAACTCGTGCACTTTTTCGACATCTCAACGTCCAAAAGTGGTTCAGGACCGTCAGTTTTTAGCGATTTTAACTTTGAAATGCGATCCGCGCCACAAGGGCGTACACATTTTCAACTTTGAAACTTCTAAAAGTGGTCCGAGACGGTCAGTTTTTAAACACTCTTTCTTGACTTCGAAATGTGCTTTGCGCCACAACAGCGTGCAATTTTTCATCTCTCATTTGGCCAGATGGCTCCCCGCTTCCAAAACATTGGAAAACACAGTGCTTCCAAAACATTGGAAAACACAGTGCTTCGCGATTGCCCCTGCATCTTCTTTTTTCTGACTCTTTCTCTTCTCTAATCTTCTTCCTTCTCACTTTCTCCTCTCTGACTCTTCCCACCTCTGCTTTTTCATTTTTCCATTTGACTTCAAAATTTCCTTCGAATAATTTGCCGTAGTACCGCGCAAGGCGGTGGCGGAAGTTTCAGAGATAGGACACTTTAGATGAGGTGAGTTGCTGCGATGCATGGATGGCAGAGCGAATCCACTGACTTGGAATGGGACTGCAGCTAAGCTTGATATAAGCTTGACCAAGTTTGACTGGGAATGACAAATGTGTGTGATTTGTGTATGGCCTAAATATTGTAACAGTGGCACGAAATGGGGCACCATTTGGAGCACGATAAAAATAGCCAAAATCAAATATATAATCTCCTGTGTGCCAATATGATATGCTTTGTGATTGGATCTAGAATTATATACAGTATTCAATATTCTTCTAGGTTTTGGAGGCTGGCTTAGCTCCGGCCAGTCCTGGCCTAAGCTCCGAAGAGGAAAACAATACAAAACCGCCAGTTTTTGCTTTTACCGCACTTTTGTCATTTACAGAGCACGAATAAAATAATGACAAGAGCACGGACTTTCAACATAATTGAGATTATTTGGAGCACGATTTGGCGCACGATCAACCGCGAATAAAAGCACGCATTGGAGCACGATTTGGTGCGCACAGTGTGATCATGATCATGTGGCTGCCGCATGGTTGCGCAACGTTCTCCAATGGCATGTGGTGGCAACAACTTGTGAAATCATGTGACTCCAGCCTCTTGAGGAAACAAAATGGCTGGAAGATGCTGGAAGGAAAACCCCAAGCTTCAAGGGAGGCCAAAGGTGTGTGGTGTCTAATGTCGAAACGTGTCTGAGCAGCCCAGAGAAGACCAGCAACTTGTACATCGTCAACTGTCCATTGCGCAAACTCTTGCAAGACAGTCACCTCTACGCACTGTAGTTTTCGCATCGCGTTCATACACAGTTTTGTGCATTTTGGTATCCATTCTGCGTGTGTGAAACATGGAAGGCCCCACAGGCCCAACATCAACATCAATCCAGAAGATCACACAATTGCGGAGCCGTTCAATGCCAATTTTCATTGTAGCTTCAGGCCTCCAGTGGCACAAGGGCGCGATTGACATCCGTGGCTAAAAGGGCTGCACCAACTGAACTGCTCCCATTGACACATTTGTGCAGCCAAGATTCTGCGCGCTCCCGATTCTGCGCGCTTCAACATTGTTACAATCTCGTCGTGGCCTTTCCTTCTTGCATCGTCCAACGGAGTGTTGCCTGAGTGCTGGGACCAAGACTCATGTGACGCTGCTTCCCGCATCACACTCATGTGTCTTGCTGTAACTTCAAGAACCATATTGAAGAAAGTACTAAGATGATATTTAATATAAATATGTCCATGTATCAAGTTCATGATTCATAAGATACAAAACATTGCTGTTTCATTCTTCGCGCCAATACAAGTTGCTCCAAAGGCCATTCACGCCCCATGTTGATTGGACTGAAGTTTCATCTCCCCCGAGACAAGGGCCCAGAGTCCAGAGGTCGCCATTAACTTTCATGGTGACTTTTGTAGACTGTGCTGAAAATTGTATAGAGAAGTAGTGTGCAGTTTCACACTAGGGCATAATGTTCTTGCATTCAAAGTTGAAGGAGACCTTTAAATTAGAAACCCCAACACATGACACAGTTCAACTGGAATGAAGGGAACCTCAATTGACTCAAATGTAAGTGCCAAATCAATCTTCATACCAATTGTCGCTTCTCTGTAATCGGAGCACGTAATCAAAGTATTCCCGAGATGCCGTTTTCAAGTGAAATGCCAGCCTCAACACAATATCAACGGACGGTTCCTGTGCTAGTTCAGTCCAGAAGTGCTGTGAATTGCAATGAGAAAAACCAGCTCAGTGGTTGTCCATACATTTCCAACCAGCAGAGAGATTGTTCGTTCAATTGTGTAGATTTGGGCTCTGGCGAGACGTCTTGACAAATATCACTATGATATCACGAACAAAGAAAGGATGTATGCTCATCATTTTCATGCAACATGTGTCACATGTGGAGGCTGGATGTGCATTGTGCATATTCATAGATACATCGATCATGATGCATCTCTACATCCACTTGCATCGGCGGTGTCTTCTAATGCTGCTTCCATTGTCTCAAGCAATGCTGTCTTTAGGATGTCGAGAATGCCTTGCTGAACGCGTGTTTTGTCTGCGCATCATCACCTTGAGCTAAAGAAGCCTAATGCCTGAGGACCCTAAAATCCTAAAACCCCTTGATCATCACCTCACCATGGGAAGTCTCAACATTCAACAAACAAAACAGCCGCCACACAGTTAGCAAAAACCCATCCCATCTCCCAGCCGAGGCCCCCGGCCTTCGCTGTCTTTCACAGTCACGGAAGCTTTCGCCTCGACGAGCAGCTTCACTGCCTCCACTTGGCCCCAGTACGCCGCATAGTGCAGCGGGGTGCGACCTCGGGCGAGCGACTGCTCCCAGAAATGTCCTTCTGATGCAAAGCGAAGCGAAGACACCGAAGATTGTGAAAAGTTTATGAACGCCAAAAATATCCGAGAAGCTGCACATCTAAGGCTCCATCAGGAGCCCTAAATACCCCCAAGTTCAATTCTTTTCATTATTGAAATTATTGTTGTTGCAATCGTGTGATATCTTGTGTTCAAATTCTGTCCGTGTCATGTGGTTGTTTATCTACATCATTTCAACTGGAAACTGCTGAAGCCTCAAAACCTACCAAACCCACCAAAACCGCCCAAAGTTTTACATTTCATTCACATCTTGAGTTCGAATTTTTTTGGCACCTTGAAATCTCCCAAAGCACCGTGCATCCATCTCTTCAGGGCCGAGAGGCCGCTGTCGCTCCTGGCGTCGACCTCGGCCCTTGCCGCCAGCAGCACCCGGCAGATCTCCGCGCGGCCGTCGTGGCGCGCCGCCCAGTGCAGCGCGGTGTCGCCAGCTCTGTTCTTCGCAGCCACGGCGCCGGGCACCGTCCGCAGGATGTGGCGGATCCCCCCGAGGTGACCGCGGCTGGCCGCCAGGAGGATGTTGTTGTCGCCTCGGAGGGCCACGGGCCGCCCCGGGAGGGCACCGGAAGGGCCGCAGAGGCCACAACGGAGACCCAAAAAATCGTGGAACACGTCGAATGTTTTCTATCTTTTTTTGAGTCAACAACGAAGTGTATTGATGTGTATTGATGTGTATTGATGTGTATTGATGTGTATTGATGTGTATTGATGTGTATTGATGTGTATTGATGTGTATTGATGTGTATTAATGTGTATTAATGTGTATTGATGTGTATTGATGTGTATTGATGTGTATTGATGTGTATTAATGTGTATTAATGTGTATTGATGTGTATTGATGTGTATTGATGTGTATTGATGTGTATTGATGTGTATTGATGTGTATTGATGTGTATTGATGTGTATTGATGTGTGATGTGTATTGATGTGTTTGATGTGTATTGATGTGTATTGATGTGTTGATGTGTGTGTGATGTGTATTGATGTGTATTGATGTGTATTGATGTGTATTGATGTGTATTGATGTGTATTGATGTGTATTGATGTGTATTGATGTGTATTGATGTGTATTGATGTGTATTGATGTGTATTGATGTGTATTGATGTGTATTGATGTGTATTGAGGTATTGATGTGTATTGAGGTGTATTGATGTGTATTGAAGTGTATTGATGTGTATTGATGTGTATTGATGTGTATTGATGTGTATTGATGTGTATTGATGTGTATTGATGTGTATTGATGTGTATTGGTGTGTATTGATGTGTATTGATGTGTATTGATGTGTATTGATGTGTATTGATGTGTATTGATGTGTATTGTATGGCTTGGATATGCTTGGATTGTATATAACGAAGACATACGAAGACTATCGAAAATAGAAACATCATGAAACATCTGGTTTTGAGGTCACTTTTCCAGTTGTTCAACTTTAACATGTTATGATCGATCTCAAACCTTCTCAAACTTATGATCCAAGGCCCTTGGCATCTTAGCGTCACATGTGGAGCCAGGCCCTGGATCCAATTTTCCAATTCCTCTTGCTCATAGGGCACTGGGTCACTTGGCGTCTCAAACTAGTCTTGTCAGGTTGTACTCCATCTATGACATCTACGTATGCAAGCTGCGAGTGTTACCATCTTCTTCGTGTCAAAGTGATGACTGTATAATAGATATGTAAAGATAATGTGTGTATGTGGATTGTATCAGTTGTATGGTAATTGGTGTGTGGTCGCATCATGGCATTTGCAAGGGATCAAATGCCTCTGCCAAAACTAGATCCAATTATATTCACAGCCCCTCTGATGTGGAATTGTGGATCATACAACTAACGCACACCTCCAAATACAGATGATGTCTCAGTGAAGTTGCAAAAGTTCTATTGTTTCCATATGTTTCCATGTTCGATCTGTTCTATCGTGTCACCATCTCCACGTGATAATCTCAAAAATCTAAACTGGTGCAAGGCGTTGCATTGTGAGATTCAGAAACGGGACATGGAACTGACTGTTGCAAAAAAGCGTCCGAAGATCTCAACTAAGTCTACATAACGAGCACACATGAATTCATCTCAACCAGGCATCTGAATAACACTGCAGCTATCGGGTAACTCAGGCATTGGTGATTACTCTCAAAATGGTTTCTATTTAGAGTTGTCTTTTTTTGTTCATGTCTTACTTGAGCTGTACAGTGCCGTTTTCGTGCCAGGCCGCTCTGGCGATTTTCCTGCGTTCACTGAGGCCCCGGACACTTCGCAGCTTCAGCTTCATCAGCTTTAGCTTGGGCTGCATCTTCCTACAATGCCGTAATCCAACATCGTGTGCTTTGAAATTCATCAGACATTTTGGGCACTTTTCATAAGATCTTCCGGAACTACAATCCAACAGATTGACTATGTGCACTCTATCAAGGCAAGAAGCTTGAAAAACAGTGTTCATCCCAAAGCATGATTGACAACATGGCCAAGACAACATTCGCAGTTGCCTTTGCATCCGCTTCAGCTTGGGCTGCATCTTCCTGCAATTGCCACAGTCCAACATTGTTTACTTTTGAGTTGAGTAGCAGATTTGGGCAGTTTCCACAAGATCTTAAGGAAGTGCAATCCAGAACATTGAAGATGCCCCTGCCAGGGCAACGAATTTAAACAGCAGGGTTCAAGTTCATGCCAAAACATCACCAGCAAATGTTTCAGAACATGACGTTCATAACATGGCAAATACAACATTCGCAGCTGCCTTTGCATCAGCTTCTGGTGGGGGTTTTGCCTGGGCTGTCAATCTGAAGGCCCAATGCATCAATGATATTCAATGATATCAGTTCATCAGTGTGCATCAGTTGGCATCATCGTATCATTGATCAAAATCAACCAGTGATCACGCCAGCAATCTATTATATAGATGCAAATTTACTTTTTCCGAAGGGCCTCTATGGGCCTCTAAACTGCCTCAGCCACCACAAGTACCTAAACCCAAACGAAGGACCTTTACCCGCAAAAAGCCCTTTCTATTTCTTCCCCACATGGCAAGTCCACAAGCAGCAAAGCTTCGATTTGAGAGTAGTGACTCTAGTCGTGCCTAGGGATTTCAGGACTTGACTGACAAAGGCCCTGCCTCTGCACGGGGGTCAAATCGGAGATGGTGAATCTGGCTGGCGATCTCGCTGTCAATCATTGTATCCCACACAGAACTCTTGAGTACCTTGAGCTCTGTGCGTTCAGGGAAGTCCTGGCAAACGAAAACAAAGAGTTCCCATGCACTATGCTCTGGGTGCAAATACACATCCCTGAATTTCATCCAAGGCAAATGTTGATCCCTATGTGCAGCCCGATATTGAGAACCAAAACCCGCAGAGTTTGAAAAATACCTGAGCTTTTCTGGCAAAACCCAGGGTATTTTAACCCATTCTGAAAGTACGGGTTAGGTACGGGTTAGGTACGGGTTAGGTACGGGTTAGTGCGGGTTAAGTACGGGTTAGGTACGGGTTAGGTACGGGTTAAGTACGGGTTCAAAATCAATACCCGAGGTCTTCAATCGAAAACCGAGGTTTGCTTTTTTTTTCCGAAATACCTCAGGTTCTTGAGTTGACCCGAAGAATTCTTAGGGTTTTGGTTCTCCATATCATATTATATATATATAATTATATCATATATATATATATCATATATATATATATCATATATATGAAACTAACCTCATCCAACTAACGTTTCTTTCTCCCTACTTCTTTCAGCTGACTCCTGCACTTGGCCATGCTTTGGCTTGGTGTCCTGCTGCAGCAACAAAAACTGTATGAAATTGTTCTCGTTCAAGAAAACATCATCAGCTGCTACATGCCGGTGTTTCATCCAGGGAAGGTGCGGCTCCATAGGTAAGATGCATGCAACCCACGCATGGCAAACACCTATGAATCTAAATGGTTCCAAAACTTAATGGCAACTCGCACCAGATGGCAAAGTTTCCTCATCGTGCTTTGATTCGTCAGCACCGTGTGCGCTTTCGCTAGCCGTTGTTTGCCAAGAATTTGGCACCGCAGATACCTGCAAGAGCCGCGGCAAGAGCTGGAGTGGAGCAAACTAAGGTTTGAATTCTTGAAGATCTTTGGCAATCTTATATATAATTATATATATATATATCCCTTCTTCCACAAATCTGAATTGAATTAATCATTCCACAAACCTTCAAAACCAAATGCCTAAATTTGCATTGCATTGTGTAAAAGAAATAGCGCCGAAATCCAAAACGGCAATTTAGATTGACGTAGCCCTGAAATCTTGGCGGAGGGTATCTTTGAGTCCTAGAGCGACGTCACAAATCAAAAGGTGCTACTGAAGGCCTTGAAACCATGCCTCACCACCCATAACCAATTGAAAACGGAACCATACTACGTTGCAATTCGCAATGTTGTAACATTGATGCCAAATTTGGGTGTCAACATTTTTTGACTTGAATTATTCTCGGAAAACAATCTTGAAAAGGAAAACACACGTTGCGTTACATCGTACCAATTACTCTAGAAGTCCTTGCCTTTGAACCCGAACGCGGCCCAAGCATACCAACCAGAAAAACATAGAAAAACGACACGGCCCAAGATTATGTACGATGTCACTCCTGAAATTAGTGAAAGTGCCGAAACTGTAACTCTTGACCTGGTATCATGCACTAACATCCATTGCTTGTCCGACAAGACACCTTAAGAGTTTCCGCAGCGGCATTCGTTCTAATCTCTGCACGTCCAGATGTTTCTTCAAACTTGCTTTCCTTGAATTCCAGCTTGGTCAGAAATTCCAACCAACCACCAGGCACATGGCAGTTGACGACGATTGCCATGAACTGAGCTCTGGAAATCCCGATATAGAGCTGGGCCCGAGTTGCCAAGTCCACTTCGGCGCCTTGACCTTCAATCGCTTCGTCAAGGCCAATACAAATAACAATGAAGGCCTCATGGCCTCTGCTGCGGTCAACTGTATCCAAAATGATAACTTCATCTTTTGCTTCTGGAAATTCAGTGGGTAGGAAACTCAAGGATTCGTTGAATGAAAACAACCGAAGGTTTCGCTGTCTGAATGAGTGGTCCAATTCTTCCTGCAATGGACCTTTGAGTTTTTTCACAAAGCTGTCATCTGGGACAAGGAGGGCAATGCGGTTGTTAAAGCTTCGTAGACTCGAGAATGTTTGGGCCACATGCCAGAAGGCCTTCATGATGAACTCAACGTATTCATGTTTGAAGCCACCGGGTGTGATTTCAGCATCACTTTTGAAGATAAAACATTTCAGCGGTGGTCCATCAGTGCCAAGACTTGTGGTGTGTTGACCTTCATCCGAGAGTTGGAATGCAGCTGCTCCTCTCACTATGCGTTTGGTGCTCCGTACGACCTGTGTGAGGGCCACACGCTTGATGCTTGGGAACCTCTGAGAAGTTTCTGAACTCTGAGAGGTGTCTGAAAGCAACAGAATTGTTTGCGAGCTGATACCATCCAGAATATTGCGGTGTCTGAGAACTTCATGGCCTTCGTCAAACACGGCCAACATGAACTCCAACTTCTGATTTGTTGTCACAGACTGGGAGACTGGCGCGGCTGGAGTCTGCACTATCTGATCACCTTGAATGCTCAACAGAATAAACTTTTCATAGGGTTTCTCAAGCATGACAACCCTTTCCATCAGGGTTTCCGTTGCAGCACGGGTTGATTCTTTTGTCTCTGCAGCATGCCATCTGGCTAGCCATCGTAAAAAGTATAGACCGAGGGAAATGCAAGGGCAAACATAAAGAACAAGACCCTTAGGGTTTCTCTGGAGCCTTTCCAGCACATATTTTGCCGCAACGAATGTTTTCCCCCCCCCTGCAGGAGCTGTCAGATGCAGGTCTTGATTCGGTTCCTTGAGCTCTGCCAATTTCTCTTGCTGATGGTCAGTGAGCTTTGATAATCTCTGCAGACTTCTTTCGTAGGCTTCCAGAAATTCTGATTGATCGACCTCAATGTCCGCGCTGGCATGAGGATCCTGTGCCAAAGACTGCCTCATGCTCAGGTTCAACTCACCACTGAGAACTTTGTCTCGTAGCACTTGAACTGTCTCAATCTCTTCTGCTTTCACATTGAAAGCTATCGATGGCGCACCACGTGGCAATCGTGATCTAAAGGGCAGTTCTGCCTGAATATTTTTGGGAATGGCACTCTGTAAGGCTTTTTTCAGTGCATCATGGCCACCATTGTCCATCAAGTTGTAAATTGCTTCTGTTGCATGACGAATGTGTCTCGACACAAAGATTTGTTGTGTCTCTTTGCACTGAACAATCCACTTTAATTCTGCCGACCTTGTCACTGCATCATCGTCAAAACTTGGGACAGTCATCAACAGCACGCCTGTTCTCCACCTGTTGCCATGCTTGGCATCAACCGTGGAATGCACCGGGAACTCTTTCTCCAAAAACCTGGTTACGTCAATCTCCTCATAGTCCCACGCCGAGCCATGCTCAGCCCGCATTTGTTCTACATATGCGATCTCACATTTCTGGCTTCCGCCGCAGCCAACGCCGTCCCATAAGTCTCTGCACTTGAGCTCTCGAAGCATTAATTTTCCTTGGCCCTTTTGGCCAGGAAAAAACACAACTCTGAGAGTCTGCTTCTTTTCCACAGCTTCGTGCACCTTCAGGGTTACTAAAGGCCGTGGCCAATGTACACGCGTCTTGTTTAACAAATTAACGAACAAAGCACACACACACACACCGTCTTCATACCTGATGTACAAGCCATACCCTGGGTACTGTCTTACGCCTTGTGTTAATGAAGAATGTAAGAGCCCTCAAGGCGTCAAAAGGTTTTGAATACTTAAGGATCTTCATGGCTCAAGTTTCTGAAGTAAAATGGAGAAGAGACCTGGCACAGAGAGTTTCTAGCATAACTGCCTTGCAGCGTAACTGCTTGGGAGAAGCAAGGTACAACTCTTCTGCAGTAAAAGTGACTTGTTAACATGCTTCGACGTCCGTGACAGGTTTCCAGTGAAAAACTTGATGGAGGTTTCAATAGATGGAGGCGGTTTTGCAGTTCTGAAGCGGGTCGATTTGACCCAACGCAAAAAATAGCTGGCTTAACCATCCGCTCACTTGTAAATCAGGACATGCTCAGCACCATGCGAATTAGTCTCGGAAAATTGTGGCTGGTTCTGACTCTGCGATCTCTGTGATTCCATTGTGGCGAGAGGCTCAAGAGTCAGATGCTGTTTGATGCCTTTAATGCAATTGTGTTTTCATCTATAGTCAACAAAAGTCAAACACAAGTGAGATCCAACACTATGTGACGCGGTCCTGATTAGCAATGTAACCTTGCATCATGCTCATGTTGGTCTCTAGAGTAGCCGGAATAGACGTGGAGGATCGTAAAGGCTTGGTTTGGCCTCCTAGGCCAAGAAATCATTCATGTAAATGCGTTCAATGACATAAATGGCAAGTTGGTCTGCACAGTTTGAGGGGCGGCATTGTGTACTACAAGTTTGGGTGGGTCGGTCTGAAAAGCTAAAGTATTGTCCAGCTCTGGATCGTGATCGAAGTTTTCCAAGAGCTCATTCTTATCGTCTATCTCATGAGATGCAGAAACGTAGACAACCCGCCGCAGTACACCATCGCGCTGCAAGTCGTGCCAGTGCTTTGACGCAACCCCAGCAATCACAACGCACTTGAACTAGCATATCCATATAATTGATGACAAACGCGGCGATTTCCTATTTGAAAATCACCTGCATGACTATCATATTATATCATATCATATAATGTTGGCTGCCTAATAGTAATTACCCCCCCCTATTTCTTTTTTTAGGGGGGGGTCAACCTTCCTATAATAATTTTTGGGAATCTATAGCTGGGATCATGATATGTATCTGATAGATTCTCCATGGTTTTGTTGGGTTTCTGTTAGATTCTGCATAGGGTTTGGTTAGATTTCTGAGATGTTCTGCATAGGTTCTGCATGGATTAGGGTTGGTTTCTGTTAGATTCTGTATGGATTTTTGGAACCTTATAGCGGAAGTGGACATGGAAGTGGGGGCAGAGGTGGTGGAGGCGAAGGAGGAGGACGAGGAGGAGGAGAAGGAGAAGAAGAAGGAGAAGGAGAAGGAGAAGGAGGACAGCAAAATTGGAGTTGCGGAAAAAAGTTTCCACTATCGCCATGCCTGGTGCAGGTTTGTTATTGCTATTCTGGGGCTTGCAAAGGGGGTACAGTACCCTTTGTGGACCTGTTTTTTTTGCTTTTTTTTTAAAGGGTTTTATAAGGAAATCAGCTGTTTGGTAATTGGATCAGATTTCTGGAATCTAAGCTTTTGCTAATCAAAAGTGAAGGCTGCTTGGAAAAGGATTTGCTTTACTTGACTCTTTTGGCAATACTAAAAGTAAATGGAGCTAATTGACTTTTAGTATTGGAGAAAAAATCGGAGTTGGGAAAACAGTTTCCACTATTGCCATGTTGGGTCCACTATTGGCCATGCCCTCTGGGCAAGGTCTGAACATGACTCTTTTGGCAATACTGAAAGTAGATGGAGCTATATAATTGACTTTTAGTATTGGAGAAAAATTGGAGTTGCGGAAAAATGTTTCTACTATTGACAAGATATCACTATTGGCTAGACAACATTATATGTTATTCATATCTATGATATCACTACTGCAATTGCAAGTGAGGCGCAAAATGTCCGTGAGAAGATACACATGGCGTGATACAGGTGTAAAATCGTGCAAATGTGAGCTATCAGGAAAGTAACTTAAATCCAAGGAATTACAACATGTCACGCTCACACCAACATGTATCGGATCAAACAATGTTTGATGCACCTACTTGTACAGCCTTAAACTTCAATCTGAAAAATCGAAGCTACACACACACAAAGAAAAAGGGTCACTCCAACTCAGACTCGTTGAACGTGTTCATGTTTTGTTGAACGTGTTCATGTCTTGCCACTGGATTGCACCTTCTCCTTCCAAACATGAAACCATTGACATCCCCACGCTGCCGTCTTGCCGTTCTCCTCCCAGCCTCTTTTGGCCTCTTGTCTGCATTTCTTCTCCTCTTCAACTGTGGCATCTGCAGCGACAACGACGGCATGCGTCAGTTTGGCCTTCGCTTGCTCGCGCTTCAACTTCTCACTGTCACGGTCTTTCATTTTCACCAAATAGCCAAATGTCTCAAAGTCTCTTTCTCCGTAAATATGCTTGCAGTAGCAACTTCCATCAGCGAGCTTGTAGTGCTGGCCTAGGCCAGAGTCTGGCGTGCTCAGGAAGACGCAGGCCACGCTATCGCCGTGCAATTCAGCAACCAACGCATCCCACCCTGCAGCAAATTTGCCCGGAAAGGAGATCCAGCAAGCAGAGGCACCGGATCGAATCTTTCCTTCATATTTGATGTCACTGGTCTCTTCAGTGTTAGCATGTGCTCGCTCTTTCGCAACGAAGTGCAGAGTGAACTTATTCTTGTCATCTATGGCTGAGTCCTCATTGCATGAGCTTTGCGCGTCTGAAGCATATTAGCCGCGCCCCGACCACACCAAAAAGCAAATTGCCACACAAAAAGACAAGGAAAACACGAACCGGTCCTTCGCCGCAGCAGCAGGTCCAGGGCTAAGTGTAAGATCTTTCACAAAATCAATGCCCACGTCATGTCCATGTGCTTCTCGCAAAATTTCCTTCAACACTTGAGCGGCTTCTTTTTGCTCCTCCCGTTCTTGTAGAACAACTGCCAGGTCGGCCTTGGAGTTCACGGTCAGTGGATGCTCCTGAATGCGCATCTTTATCAAAACACATCAAAAATTATCGAAACGGGTTGTTTTCATCCTGATTGAAACAGTTTTGCACGATGCGCATGGCTCACAATTTACTTTCAACTGCTTGAGTCATCAGCTGATCAGGTCGTATGCGATATGGTCCTCCCCAAGCTTTTGCGATTGCATTTTCGAGACTTCCTTCAACATTGTCTCCTCTTCAAGTTTGGGCAACAAGGAGTTGCGATTGGAAAACAAAGTCACTCGCTCATCCCTCGAACTGCGACTTAGACAAAACCAAACCATCAGCCGATGAAATTACACAATATACGATTTGGGAACCCTGATGCTTTCTTGCCTCAGGTGGAAAAATATCTCTGTCTCTGTGTATTTGGTGCGAGCGTGGGCATGTTCTTCAACTGGAAATGGTTGGACGTTTGGACGCTTTGAAGCTAAGATGTCTCTGGATGAAACCATATCGTAATGATGTTGAAAATTATGGTTTGCAAGTACCAGCACCAAAAATACTTTACCCAATAACAACTTGTGCATCCTCCGGCTGAGATTTCAGCCTTTGGCTGGCACGACTATGTGATTAGCAGAATGCTTTTCAGTTGGACAGTTGACCAAATGTCTTTCGAAGCAAAACATACAATGACCCTTAGCATTTGCTTTTTATGTTTTTTGACATTTTACATCTAGCAGGCAAATGTTGATTGAAGAGTGATTGAAGTATATCGAAGTGCATATCAAGCAAGGGTCCTTGTCTTCGTGAAGGCATCCAAGTAAACTCGCAAAGCAGTCGACCGCCCTGCGTGTGATTGGGTCATCCTGGCTACGGGGTCAAACCGTTGAGGGCCCTTTAAAACTCTGGTTTTGTATTGGATCTCCTCATTATTTTGGACCCCTTTTGGATGTATTTCATATTAGGGGCACGGGATCATTGCACTTTGCTGGAAACCATAATCCCAAAAAATATGTTCATTAAGGGAAAAAGTCGCAACGCAACGTTCGGTGTTTTTTGGGCAAATACTGTGGTTACCAGTAGTGACAAAAAAATGTCAAATCAAAAAGACTTTGAGCCAGCAGCAAGACCGTATGTTTTGAAAAAAAGACTTTGAGCCAGCAGCAAAACCGTATGTTTTGAAAAAGTTGTTCAAAGAAAGCAAAAAGCCCTAGCAACTCTCAAAGAAGTAGCTCCAGATGATCAAAGCATATCAAAGCCATAATGACCACGAAAAGAGCGGATTCTGGCTTTCCGGGTGGTAGGGTGGGCACATGCTGATGTTCACAACAACAACCATGAAGTTCATCCTTGAGATCGGTAGGTCCAGCTCGGCCAAGAGCTTCAGATACTTCCTCCAGTTGCGGCTTCAGATCGGCAGATCGAGCTCGGCTAAGAGCTTCAAATACTTCTTCCAGTTGTTTCTGCGCTCCGGTGAAATCCTTTTGCAGCTGCAGAGCGGCCGCCAGATCGATCTTGGTGTTGAGTGTGTCTCGATCCTCCTAGGCACAGGTCAAGAAACACATCTGACTCATCTGACGGATAAAGTGTGCTCGGCAGAACACTTTCAGAATGTCTTTGAAGAGGTGCCAGTACTTTTTGATTGTACCATCTTGAAACTCATGTCCTTGCCAAATTGTTGCTCTTGAATCTCCAAGATGTGCTTCAATTTCTGGCTTTCCCAAAGTGCCTGGTCTTGGGCAGCCGGCTCTCTTCCAACACAATAAAATCCAATGCTTTGCTTTCTGCAACGCTTTGTGGAGACTCTCCAGCCTTGATCCTCACAATAACTTCATTCCACTCTCTTTTGGCCTCCAGATCTGTGTCAAGATGACGCATGACTGTATGATATTGATGAGTATGATGTTGAATTGTTATTGTATGAACTTGGAATGGGGTATTCTTGTATCCAGAAAGCCTACGTAAATCCACATAACCTAGGTGGAACCAATTCAGGATTCCTACCGGAAGAGCCCAACAGGGAAAGGACAGGAAAAGAGAGGGAGGAGAAACAAAAAACTGGATCAGGAGACAGGAGGCAGAAGTCGGCAAGCGATGGAGACATGACAAATCCGAGGTGGCCCACAACTTGCAACAACCTATCCGACTTCCTAAAACAAGATGCACTTGTGACACGCAATGACCACATGATCACTGGTCTATAGCTCTGTGACTCATGGCTTATTCTTCATGATGCCTCTGTCGCCCGTTCTGCTGAAGATGACGTTCCTCCCCCTGCTGACCTGAACCAAATGACTCTTCATGGTTGCTGTTTCTGCCTCTTGACACTGGTCAATTTCCATTGTGTCAGGCAGTTTCCACACTAGAGGGTCTACATCTCTCACCAGTAGCTATGTATTCAATTAAGCCTGCGGAACTTCTCGGAAACCTAAGTGTATACACATCACAATGTAGAATAGGTATATAGATCGATTGGAGATGCAATGGATCGGTCTGCCTGCACTGCCAATCTGTCAGTGATTCAACTTCAGATCTTACAAAGCAACCCCTTCACAGTGGAAGTGACACTAGTTGCACCAAGTTGCCCAAGCACTTGCTCCACACCTTTTGCTTCCTGCAAGCCGCATCCGCTTTGGTGAAAGTCACTGAAACCGGCTTAGAGGCAGCCGCCAGAGTCAACAGGACTAGAAGAATTGAACACTAAACCAGTTGCATGCTTGAAGTTCATGGAATCCCTGTGCAAGGAGGGGAAACAGGGATCCTGGAATCCATAATTTCTGTATCTGCCAAGCGTGCTCTTTATGGGTGTTGATCGAAATAAAGGTTCCTGGAACAGCTACAATCGCCGATCGGGTACCACATGACCGCACCTCTCGCAAATAACTGTCTAGCTCTTGAATGCGCTGAGCTGCAGCAGTTTCTGCTTGATGCAACGAGCAGACCTGCAACATCAACGAGTCCTTCCTTGTGCTCCGACCACAGGTCACTGTCCAGGTTATATCATCAAACAGTCGGGCCCACAAATCACACATTGCAAATATTGCATATAGCCATAATATTTAGTGAAATCATAGGTGCAACGCACCGAGGTCAAGCTAAAACAAGTTTTTCAAAGACAAATCTCTTCTTTGAGCTGCACCGGCTCCACCTCTTCCGGGAGTGTATCGGAGTCATGAGCTCTGGCCTTCCAGACTGGAGCATGACCCATCAAGCTGTCAAGCTTTTACCATCTTCAGCCATGGATGTGAAACCACAATCAGGTGCACGGGACATGAAGCATGGCAAAGGTAGAAAGCTTGCAAGGTAACACTTGCCTGCATTTCCTCCACTCTTCTCCTCATGCTGGGGACCTTGCAAAAGGAAACACAACATAGCACAGCACCCCCCAATTTCTGACGAAAATTTACATCTTCAAATCGACAGAGGATCTGGGTTCAGTATGGTGCAGTGTGAAGATGTTTCAAGTTACGTGTTGGAAGACACAGTTAACTTGATGGGTTAGGCACCTCAAAAAATAAAATGCACCCACAAAATAAAATGCTGGGGTCTGACCCATTTTATTTTCATTTTATTTATTGTTTCTTTTATTTTAAAAGGGGCTCCTGCCCCCTCATTCTATTTAGGTACCCCGATGGGGGGTCCCTACATTCCACCCACAGGTTGCAAGGCTGACTTTGCAAATGGGTGGCTCTATTTCCTCAAACTTGTACTGGGTGACTGTTGTTCAGATGAGCTGAAACAACCTCTATGAGATGAGCTTCTTACCCAGCAGGGGCTCTTCCTTGGACCGTTCCGAACTCAAAGTTTAGATAGCGCTCCTCCACACCCAGGCCGTCTCGTAAGTTGTGTGATCCCGCCTGTGCGAGTCCAGCCGCCAGAAAAGTGCCAACATCTGCTGCCTCCAATGCCGATGGTGCAGCATGGTGACGCATAGCGAAGCAGTTGGCACAACTGAATTTCATGGATTTCTTGGAAGCTACAGGAACAAAGCTCAGTGGTCAACGGCATCTTTGTTGGGGACGTGACAACTTGGCTTGGTTCAGCATCCAAACTTCCCAGCACTTAACCGCCTCCTCGGCTGTCAGCTGGCGTGCCTGAGCCGAGCTGCCGCTGTCCATGGTGATCAGCAACCTGGAGGCAAGCAACCGTGCGAAAAAGATCCACAATCCACATCATTGAGTTGCTAATCCCTACCAGGTTTTTTGGTGTGCCGTCACCGTTTTTTGGTGAATCTCAAGATCCAGAATGCGTGGTAGAGGCGATGTACCGATGGTAGAGGGCCCTAGCTTCTTTCAAGCCTGGGGAACTCAACTGACAGTGAAGGTCACACACCTGTTCCTGCTTTCATTGATAAATGTTGTGGGTAGAAAAAATCCACCACTCCAGACCCAATTACTCAAGTGAGATTGATTCACACAGACTTTGATCCAATCCCACCAGTTAAAATGTCCTGGTCTGATATACTAAGTCAGTTTCTTCCATTTCCGATGACTTTTGAGTTTCCTGCCCCTTCCCGAGTCCTGCAATATTCTGTAGTCGACCGAAGAAACTCGAAGGCTCAAAGGCCTGCCACAGAACCTGAGTGAGGTGTTTCAAAGAGCAGCCGAATTGCCCAGCATGAAACTGAATTCGACAAAGCCGAGCATCCAGAAAATGCACGTTCCTGTCCCTGGATGCAACTCATTTTGCAAACTGGTACATTTCGCATCCAAAACTGAGGCCAAGCGCAGACACGGTTGCAATGAATTCAAGAAAAAGTGGCGGCAAGAAAAGGAACACGCCAATGGCTTTGCAAAGGCACCGTTCCAACGACTTTGGATTCGTTGTGCGAAACTCAGGTTCCCATTTAACCATCCATTGCCACTTTGCGAAATTTGGTTCCGTTCACAACTGCACAATGAATGCATTTAAGACCCACTGGTTTCCTGCGGATCCTTTTCTGTGTTGGAGCTACAAGCTGCGCCACGTCAAGGAACATTCCAAAGGTTGACGACCTGCTCAAACTTGATATCAACAACTTTAACTTGAGGGAGGAGATGCCAAGAAGCTGAAAGACATGACATGGTCGAACTTTTCCACCACACGTTTTCTGGCTCAAGCACATCGTGGTTGTACACTTTGTACACGTTTGCACAATATTTGCTGAGCGATTAACTGCCAACCCCAGCTTGATCTATCTGATTCAATGACAAAAGTCTCATTTCATATGTTTCATACATTGCCTTGGTTGGCAGTAGTTGGCCACAGCTCAGTGCTGCCTGCCACGGCCATAAATAAAGACTGCACAGATCAAGAGCCTGGACCCCTAAAATGATTCAATGTTACAAGCCTCATTTTATGCAAACTGACCAAACATGCTCAGATTTGCGCTACGTTTGCGAACTCCTAAGAAGTGGCTTTGCAACCGCGAGGTCATATATACTTGATCTTAACCATCCGAAAATCAACAAAATCGGAGGCACAACTTTGGATGAGGGGTGCTCAAAAAGCTATGAGTTGATGCAACTTTTTGGCCATGGAAGCGCCAGCTCGGAGTACGACTGTACATCCACACAGCATGGGCCAACTCTAACTTGATGTACTTGATGATTCAGGTTGGACCATGGTTGACTTTTGCTGATTCTCATTGCTAATTTTCATGGAAACCAATGCTTACTGATTTGATGGTGATCTACGCCCATCATTGCTGATCCTATCTCCGCGAGCAGAGGATCTTGCCTTGGATCTTTTTCCGGAAGCCCGATGGGACGGCCCGCTTGGCAGGATGACTGCGGGTGATGAATCACAAAATGGAATACACAAAGTATTTTCCCAAAAAGTTCGAAACATGTCAATTCTTCAGAACTAGTACATATAGCATCATATAGTCCCGGAAAGCCACCCGGCAGACGTCTGAGAAGGGCACCGGAAGGCAAATTGCAGTCACTCCTAGCGAGGGCAGCCGTCCCATGTCCGTGCAGGAAACTAACAGTGGAGTTCCTGTCTGATAATCGGGTTTCGGAAATGACGCTTTGCTAGCATCCTAGTAAAAAAATGTGTCAAGGAAATCCAAGGGCATGGGAAGCTGCCCGAGACAAGTCTTTGAAGTCTTCAGCCTCTCTTCTCCAACATACTCCAATGTGAGCCAGCGTTTTGTAACCATGAGCTGCAGCAGGTTGAAAGAGATTTCAGGAATCCATGCCTCTGCATGTTACGAGTACTATGCGCACGTCTCAAATTCACCGAGGCGGTCTTGTGAACAGATTGGCGCAGATGTGGACCGAGAGGGACCTGTTCTTATCGTCACAGCCAAGATTCAGCGTCCTCAAGGAGCCTCACGACTTCGGCGTGGCCCCGTGCTCTTGCAATATCCAAGGGTGCCTCTCCTGAGCGCTCCCAAGGCATGTGAAAGCCGAAGTCGTAACTTCTATAGGTGTCCAATCGCAATGCCCAGAGCCAGATCGACAAATTGATTTACAAAGCTTTTGTGCGTTTCATATACGCAACCCCGAAATGTTTGAGATCAACATGTAGAGACTCTTGCCTTAATCCTCCACCCCAAACAAGTTTGCAGAAGAAATGCCTTCAAAGCCTCTGCTTCCATATGTCAGGTGGGCTGAAGTTTCATCTTCGAAACGGAAACAATTGATGAACAAAGGCAATCTGCTGAGAGCCTTCACCATACATGGAAATCAAGCGTACGTATCAAGAAGAAGATCAACACCGCTAGAAAGGAAACACAAAGCGTCCTTGAGAAGAGTACTTCTTTGAAAGGTGTCCATGTACATCCACAACTTCCACTAGTATGTATTACTGCGTGGCAAAATGTATCAAACTGTAGCGTGTGCTCACTTACCATTTTGCTGCACTCAAAGGTTGAAGGAGCGAGCAGGCCACTTCACCCGACAAAACACAAACATGTAGGAAACAGGTTCTTTGGTTGATGTGATTCCAAGCATGTTCTTGTGAATGCTGGTATGCGTGGGCTCCAGCTGCGAAACATCTTCTTCTGAATTTAAAATGTCTTGTAAAGCCTTGTATCTATAAATCCTCTCCCCCTCATTTATAAACAACCCGCTTCTCAACATTTATGCACTCCTTACACATGTGAATGATCAACCGACCCAACCAGCTCCCTCATCTGTTTTTATGCGATCCTTAAGATCTGCCCTGTAGAAAACGGATCCAACTTCAATTCTTTTCAGGATTGAAATTATGGTTGTTTCATGTTGTTTCAATCGTGTGATATCTTGTGTTCTTTCAAATCCTGTCCATGTGTAATTGTTGGTGTAAATGATTTCAATTGGAAACTGCCTTTTTTAAAGCCTCAAAACCTACCAAACCTTCCAAAACCACCCTACGTTTTACATTTCACATCATTTCACATCATTTCACATTTTGAATTCGAAATTTTTTGGCACCCTGAAATCTCCCCAAAGCACCGTGTATCCATCTCTTCAGGGCCGAGAGGCCGTCGATCTCCCTGGCGTCCATCTCGGCCCCTGCCGCCAGCAGCACCCGGCAGATCTCCGCGCGGCCGTCGCACGCCGCCCCGTGCAGCGCGGTGCCGCCGGAGACGTCCTTCGCGGCCACGGCGCCGGGCACCGTCCGCAGCAGGTGCCGCACCGCGCCGAGGCGACCGCGCCAGGCCGCTGTGAGGATGTCGTTGCCGCCTCGGGGGCCACGGGCCGCCCCGGAAGGGCCCCGGTGGAAGGGCCGCAGAGGCCACAAGGGAGACCCAAAAAATCTTTAAAAGAAGACTTGAGCTAGAATTTACTGTAAGTAATCACAATAACCTCATGCAATCAGCCTGACTCCTCTGAATTTGTTGGCTCAACAACTATGTGTATTGTATGGTTTGGATATGCTTGAATTGTATAGAACGAAGACTGGGAGAAAATAGAAACATCATGAAACAATATGAAACATCTGATTTTGAGGTCAGACGGGATAGGATGGGATATGATGGGATATGATGGGATATTGTGGGATATGATGGGATATGATGGGGTATGATGGGATATGATGGGATATCATTTCAGAATTAGTTTGGTAAATTCGTGCAATGTGTGTCGAGATGTGTCGAGAAAGCGCTGACCATGCGGGGAGCAGACCCGGGATCAACTGCTGAGAGCCCAGCATTCTGCCGCTTCTTTCTCATCCTCTGCTGCCTGGTTTACCTCAGCTGCCAAGTGAACAAACACAAAACTCACCGGTGAATTACAAGTGTTTTCATTGACTTTCTGGAAACTTGTTTAGGGAGGCGGTCTCATGCCGAGGATCCACCACTTCATGATCTCGAAGCATGTTTGCCTTCATTATCCACGTGCAATGTGACAGACATAGACATGGGCACAAATGGTCCTCCAGGTCGGGTCTCGACAAATGCTTCTGAACATGCAATGCTGCACAGCATGCTTTTTGCCCCGCCATCCCAAAACACGAAATCAGTATGGTGCATGTTGAAGCATTTGAACACATCATGGGCATGCGCTGCAATGCGTTGGTTGTATTGCTTGAGCTGGGGATGCTTATGATGGAATTATTGCAATGTCAGAATGGGTTGACTCGTTCTTGACTTGTTCTTCTTGCAACTTGTTCTCTTTCTGCGAAAGAGTTCAATCTTGTTTGAATTTGAAGGCCCCCGACAGGTGAACTACTTTCACATTGCACATTGCTCCTGTCACATGCCAGGCCGCTGCAACGACCGTCAGCGTTGTGCCAGGCATCACGTTTTCTTCTGCCAGCATCTTCTCTTCATCCCTTGGCAAATACGGAAAGATACTCTTGGACGAGCCAAGCTCTTGTTCCAGAATTTGTGATCTTGATTCAAGAGACCTTCATTTTGTTTGCTGTTGCACTGGTATGAACATCCGAATCATAAATTACATGCACGTGTACTATTCGATACTATTTTCAAGTTGCAATACCTGGGAATATCGGAATACAGTATCTCATTCAAATCCACTTTCAAATTGTTCTACATAACACGTTCTAATCTGAGTCATTCTCCAGAGGACGCTGTCATTCTTAGTCCTTCGCCGAATGAGCCTCTCCACACCTGTATTTTCCTGGACTTAATCGGACTTTCCTAGACTTCATCGCTGCACCGACATTTGCCATTCACCGTCCAACAATTTGATGAACCTACACAAAGTCATTGAGAAAAAACTCCCTGTTTTTTCTAAATATGGCAGAATTTGCCATATATCTCAAAGACATTACGGATGTTACAGAAAGGCCCATGGACCCAGTATGAGTTTCACTGCTGCCACAAAGTCGTGTTTTAGGTCTGGTTGCATGTCCGATTGCATCCTACTGCAAACTTAAGCAGGTGCAACATCAATGAAACAGGCGAAAGTTTAGAAGAGTTCTTTGCAGCCCAAGCAGCAACGGCTCCATGTCGGGACCAATCAAGTGCTTGATGGCAACATCCAGCTTTTGCCTCGGGTGTCCAACTCAACTGTGGGGCACTGCAGGTTGCAACCGATCCCCTGCTTTCTCTCATTTCGTAACGGAAGTGTGTGAGCAGCGCCAGAAACTGACTGCGCCTGCTTCATTCTGCGTCTAAGTTGATATTCCCTGGCCTCTTTGAAAATAATTGAAACTTCGATAAAACAAGTATACCGTATACCACAGTATACCACTCTAAATAGGAAGTACAACCGAGCATTGAAGGCCATGCAAATGCCTTGGGCATGTTCTTCCTCGGCTCCTGTTTGACAACTATTGCACGTAGCACAACCAGTAAGAGACACCTACGTAGCAGAAGGAACACCAAGACAGAAAACACCAAAACAGTGTCGGAGAGAATACAAAGTCGCCAAAGACAAGCCAGGACCAAACCATCCAAACCCCACATGATATGCTGCACGCCTAACTTGCTAACGTGCTGAGCTTCTTCTTTCAGCTGTCGGATAGACCGGTCTTGCAACCACAGGCCTGAGATTCCGAAAAAGCAAACAAGAGTCAGTGGAGGTATCAACATAGTCCAGTGATGCAGCCGTGTAGGCACCAACCGGGTGATCACATCTGATGCCAATTGATTCGGAGAACAACATCGATTCATGAATTTGCAATTGTAATTAACTCTTGAAGATCAACAGTAGCCACTTCTTTGCACATCAACTGCAGCGATTCTACATGCTTAAACTAGCTTACACATGCTTGCACCATCTTACACCTTGCATGGACAAAGGGGCGGCCGAGTCACATTCACAGTCTTTGCCGCTCAGCAGAGCCACGAAAACCTGGCCGCTTGGCTCATGCACTGGCTGCTAGCTAGATTCTGCCAGTCGAAGGTCAGTTCTATGAGCAACCCTCACAATGTGAAGCAACTTTAGATGCATTCCGATAGAATTTGATGGCAGACCACGAGGATTTACACTTGAAGACTCGAGGTCCAACCAGCCAGTTCCTGTATATACCTGTGTCAGCACTACAGGCAAAAAGATAATGAACAATTGAACATTTTGACATATTGAACACATTTGAACACTGTATTGCCATGGGACTGGCTCCCGCAAAACCCATGACCTTCTTGTCATCGCCGTCCTTTGCAAGGTCGTGAGGTGTGGTGCCTCGCAACACAACCCAGCTCCAAAAGCCAAACCTCCGCAATTCCTTGGGTGTGCAATTCCTGCAATTTGCTCTGGACCCTGAAAGGCGAGACCCTGAAAGGTGAGACCCTGAAATCAAGAGTCAAAGACCACCATAGACTGCTTGTTTTGCTTTCAAGAGATATGTGTTTTCAAGAGAAACCAACACCTCCAATTCTGCGCCCACTTCTTAGGCAATCCGTTGACCCTAATGAACCTACTGGTACAGCTGATACTTCAGAACTCCAGCAGACAAATCAAGACATCTTAAGGATTCTTAAGGTCTGAAAAGTCAAGACATCTTGACATCTTAAGGTCTGAAAATTCTGAAAAGTGTCCGTTTCAGTCGACAATCAGGATCACACATTCTAACCGATTCTAACATATTCTAACCAAAAATTCGAAGACACTCCTGTCGCGGAAACAGCCCCTGCCACCAACCATCGGCATCTCGTGGCCTGCATGACTCACCAGCTCTTCGGGGTCCTGGCACACCGAAAACAAGAACTAGCAACACCTGGATATGCACTGCAACCTTCTGGTATTTGGGATATCACTTTGTCCGAGATCTTCACACTTGAGTGTGATTGGAGATCAAGGTTTGCACTTGGAGGCATGGGGTCCAGCTAATTCCTGTGCGCAAGCAGCACTTGTCAAGAGACGTTGAACGCAGTTTTGCCAAGGGGCTGACACCGGCAAGGCCATCAGCTTATGGTCGTCTCTTTTACGAGGTCATGAAGTGTCACGCCTGCAACACGAATCAACGAGGCCAAACACTACCAGGTTGTTGAAGATTTTTGGATATGTTTGGCATGTTTCTGCCCATGCGATCTGGAGTTGATGTGGATGGGTTCTGGTTTCGGAGTTGTAGTACCAAGCTCAGAAGAGCGCACCCCTTAAAATTTAACTGAACTTTGCAAGGTCAACGAAGTTCATATGAAATACGTTGAATTGATTTGTTCATTGAAAATGCACTGAGAAAACATGGGGAGTGTGGACGAGGCTGCTGCATGATAGAAGATTTCATGGTTGGACCGAAGTGGTTAATTGCAAGGTTTGGATCGCCCACAGACACTGGCCGCATAATTTAATTAGGTCGGGGAAGACAACAAGATTGAGGTGGGACGCTGATAACTTTCAAGAGTTTTCTTTGTGGATATCGAAGTTCTCAACTTTGGAGAAGGGTTCAACAAGTTGAGGCCGATGGCCAATGTGCGACAAGTGTCTGCAGGCCGCGAGAGTACAAATTTCTTCAAGACTCCACCCAACACATCATCACAACGACGTTCCGCGGATTGTGGTTGAATTGAGCGAAGGTTTAACATGTTTCAAACATGCACAATCCAATGAACGCAATCATCAGATTCTTTGCTTTTTACATGAGAAGGCACCCATGTCAGGATGTTCAAGACCGTTTTAAATGACAGCGTCATAAAGGCTGCTCAGAATGGCAAGCAGAATGGTAGCAAATAAAAACATGTGCCGCGTTTTCTAACAGTCGACATTCATACCTTTCGGATCCTTTAGGCACAATAAAACACCTCATTGCCCAGCTCAACTATTGTCAGACTTTCAGCATGTGTAGGCCAAGGCAAGTGCGTTTCCAGCCTGAAAAGTTGGAGCCACTCGCGCAGCCATGCAGCAGCGGGAGGTTCGATGGGCAAAACCAATGGACCAATCCAAATGAGAGGGGACCTGAGCAATTCCAGCATGGAAACTGACAACCCTGTGAATTTGTCCGTGTCACATGGGCTAGCAAGCTGGCAAGTTTGTCACCTGCACATGGCGACCGAGGCTTGATTTCAATCTTCCGAGGCTTGAACCAGGATGCGCCAAGAAGCAGCATGATGACTCCAGACACTTGAAGCAAACAAAATGGTTGGAAGGAAACTCCAGAAGGTTCGCTAATAGAGTGTCGTTTCCGTGGTCGAAGCGTATCTGAGCAAGAAAAGAGCCCAAATGAGAAACATGTTCCTTCAATTCTGCACCTCGCAAAACAGTAATCTATTTGTGCGCCCTCAGATGTTTGCATTTTCGTACCGATTCGACCAAGGGCGCGTGAAACATGAAGGCCACACCATCAATCCAGAGATCGCACCAACAGCTGAGTTGCTCCAGGCGCAAACGTTCAAGCTTCATGCCTCAGACTGTAGCTGCGTCTTGCTGGAAGCTTCGGACTCCGAAACGAACGACCTGCTCTTTGTCAACATGTGTGCAGCCAAGACTCGGCATTCTCAAGAATCTTCACAACTTCATCGTGGCCCTTGCTTCGTGCATCGTCCAATGGAGTCCGGCCTGAGCGCTGAAACCAATACTGATTGCACCACACTCATGGGTCTTGATGTCATTTCAAAAGCCATATATTGAAGAATTTACTTGTAGAGATTTGTAGAGCGTCTGATGTTGCCGTCATTCTTCACGCCAGCTATTCAAGTTGCTCCAAACGCTATTCACACCCCATGTTAACAATGTTGATTGGGCGGAAGTTCTATCTCCCAGAGACAAGCCCTCCTTGAACCCCAGGGCCAGAGTCCAGAGCTTGCCATTAACTTTCATGGTACAGTCAACACTGTAGCGTTCATAGACTGTGTTGAAACTTGTGGAAAGCTGGAAAGACTGCAGTTTCACATCACTTCGGCATCCCTTTGTGGCATTCGAAGTTGAAGGAGACCTTCAAATTCGAACCCCCAGACCAAAACAAAGAACACACCTGGAGATTCACACGGATATAAGCACGTAAGAAAAGTATTCCCGAGATATTGCTTTCAAGTAAAATACCCTCAACACAAAATCAACCGATTGGACGGTTCCTGTGCTAGTTCAGTCCAGGAGTGCAAAGAATTCCAATGAGAAAAAAATCTAGAGAATCAGGTTGTCCATACATGCCCATACAGCTTCGAGATGGCAAGTTCGGTGTTGTATAATTTCGCTCCGGCATCTTGAAAAATATCTCGAACAAATGAGGATATGTGTACAGTGTATATGTAGTATGCACGCATCATTTTCATGCAACGTATTGCACATGCGGAGGCTGGATGTGCGTTGTGCATATTCACAGATACCATGGATCATATGATACATCATGATACATTTCTATCAACAAACATTCAGTGAGTCTCCATCCATTGAGACCTCGTCCCATGCTGCGTGCGTTGTCTCAAGCAACGCTGTGTCTTGAGGATGTGGTAGAATGCCTGTCTACATGCGTACTGTGTCTCCGCATCTCCAATCACCTTCAGCTAAACAACCCTAGTGCCTGAGGACCCTAAGACCCATTGATGGCCTCCCGACCACAGGAAGTCTCAACGTTCAACAAACAAAACAGCCACCATAAAGTACTATAATAAGTATAGTAATACAATAGAATCAGATAAGAAAGCAAAAGCCATCAAAAGCCCATCACATCTCCCAGCCGAGGCCCCCGGCCTTTGTCGTCTTTCACAGTGACGGAGGCTTTCGCCTCGAGGAGAAGGTTCACCACCTCCACTTGGCCGTCATCCGCCGCCCAATGCAGCGGGGTCTCACCTCGGGCGAGCGACTGCCCCCAGAAATGTCCTTCTGATGCAAAGCAAAGCGAAAACAACGAAGCATGTGAAAAATGGAACAATCCATGAACGTCCCAAGTCTCCTAGAAGGCGCACATCCAAGGCTCCATCAAAAGCTGAAAATGTCCCCAATTCAAATCCTTTCATTACTTTCAAAAATTCAAGTTATAGTTGTTTGAATTGAGTGATGATATCTGTTGTTTTTACAAATCCTGACCATGTGATGTGGTTGTTGATCCAAATTATTTCAACTGGAAACTGTTTTTTTTTTAAGCCCTATAAAACCTACCAAACCCACCAAACCCGCCCTACCGTTTACATTTCACATCATTTCACATTTTGAATTCGATTTTTTTCGGCACCTTGAAATCTCCCAAAGCACCGTGTATCCATCTCTTCAGGGCCGAGAGGCCGTCGAACTCCCTGGCGTCGACCTCGGCCCCCGCCGCCAGCAGCACCCGGCAGATCTCCGCGCGGCCGTTGCTCGCCGGCCAGTGCAGCGCGGTGCCGCCCCAGCGGTCCTTCGTGGCCACGGCGCCGGGCACCGTCCGCAGCAGGTGCCGGACCCCGCCGAGGTGACCGCGCCCGGCCGCCACGAGGATGTCGTTGTCGCCTCGGAGGGCCACGGGCCGCCCCGGGGCACCGGTGGAAGGGCCGCAGAGGCCACAACTGAGACCCAAAAAATCGTGGAACACGTTGAATGTGTTGATTTTTTTTTGAGTCAACAACGAAGTGTATTGATGTGTATTGATGTGTATTGATGTGTATTGATGTGTATTGATGTGTATTGATGTGTATTGTATGGCTTGGATATGCTTGGATTGTATATAACGAAGACATACGAAGACTATCGAAAATAGAAACATCATGAAACATCTGGTTTTAAGGTCACTTTTCCAGCTGTTCAACTTTAACATGTTATCATCTCAAACCATCTCAAACTTCTGATCCAAGGCCCTTGGCATCTTAACGTCACATGTGGAGCCAGGCCCTGGATCCAATTTTCCAATTCCTCTTGCTCATAGGGCACTGGGGTCACTTGGCGTCTCAAACTAGTCTTGTCAGGTTGTACTCCATCTTTGACATCTACGTATGCAAGCTGCGAGTGTTACCATCTTCTTCGTGTCAAAGTGATGACTGTATATAGTACAGATATGTACAGATAATGTGTGTATGTGGATTGTATCAGTTGTATGGTAATTGGTGTGTGGTCGCATCATGGCATTTGCAAGGGATCAAATGCCTCTGCCAAAACTAGATCCAATTATATTCACGGCCCCTCTGATGTGGAATTGTGGATCATACAACTAACGCACACCTCCAAATACAGATGATGTCTCAGTGAGGTTGCGCGGCTTCCATTGTTTCCATGTTCGATCTGCTCTATCGTGTCATCATCTCCACGTGATAATCTCAAATTGAAAATCTAAACTGGTTAGAGGCATGGCATTGTGAGACTCAGAAACGGGTCACGGAACTGTTGCAAAAAAGTGTCCGAAGATCTCAACTAAGTCTATATTCACATCTGAATACATCTCAACCAACTTGCACTCAATCCGTATTTGCCTGCTGTTCAACGCTATCATTTTATGAAATTTTATAAATCATATCTCGCATCTCAAAGCGATGATCTGCAAGATCTCAACCTCTAAGACCCCAAGATCCTGTAAGATCCTGAAGAATCTCTCCAAGACCCTGACATTCTGCAGCTTCCTCTGCATCGGCAGCTTCTTGGGCTTCTCGGGCTTCTCGGACTTCTTCAGCCTGCCGCTTGGATGGGCAACATCGCAAGAAACTCACACGGAGGGTCTTGGGCACAGCAGCAAACAGCATGTTCTACATGAAAAGCAGGTGCCCCCATATCAAACCTCTCAAAACTTCAAAGACAGTGTACAGTGTGAGACACGATACTTCCGCACCTCCAAGGATGCTACCTCTTCCTCAGCTTTTCCCGTGGGTGATCGAGGGTCAAACTGCAGCTGTGAGATCGGCTCCTTGATGTCAATGACATCGGCGTCCCACACAGATGAACCCTTGATCTCCACGACCAACTTGTCACCGGGCTTGTCACCCGCCTCAGGTGCAGTTGTGGGGTCTTGACCTTCTTCCAACATTGGCTTTGAAGGTGGCACAGCATCTGGCTTCAGAGGATCTCTTTGGACCCTGGCATCCTCTCTTGTCAATGAATCTTCCTGCGAGGCCTGAACGGCCAACTTCGATGGCAGCTGCACTTTCGTCAAGGCTTCAGCAGCAGCAGTGGTGGTCTCGGCCATGGCTGTGGATTCATTGAAGGTATCACTTTTGAATTTTGTGACCCCCAAGAATTCCAGCCAACCTCCTCGGAGGAGCTGGTTCACAATCACTGCCTGAAGCTGCGCCCGAGTGATAGCCTGATAAATAATGGAACGTCCAACCTGATTTGCACTTTGGTCAGCAACTCTTTGATCAAGACCAATGCACACCACGATGAGTGACTCCAGTCCCTTTGCATTCTCCACTGTGTCCAGCAATATCATCTCTGCATTGTCTGCATGTGTGGCCTGCTTCGCTTTGACGTTTGGGAGCATGCGTAGCGACTCAGTAAACGATATCAGCTTGAAGTTTCGCCCTGCAAGGTGTGCCGTCAAGAAATGTCTTTGCAACGCATCTCGGAACTCCTCCAGAAAGTCAGGGTTGGGAACCAAAAGCGCCAGGCGCTTGTGCAAACTGAGTCCAGCGTAGATGCACATGACAAAAAATAATGCAGATACAGTGTGTTCGGCATAGTTTTCGTAAAGCTGTCCATCAGACTCAAAGAGGAAAGCCTTCAGAGGGGGCCCAGCTGGGCATAATGAGCCGATCTGATCTTTTTCTGCCGCACTTGCTTGAAATGCAGCTGCCCCAGCCACGATCCTCTGCGTACTGCGCACCACTTGGGTCATTGTGATCTTTTTGGCTGGTGGAAAGTCCACTGCACCAAATGAGTTTTGGGATACGCTCGACAAAAACAGCACTTCTCGTGGTGCCTCAATCTTCTCTTCCAGAAAAGTGCGGTTCCCATCTGTACAGAAAATATCATGTGCTTCATCGATGATGGTCAAGAGAAATCGCATCTTGCTATCGGGCAAGGTCGTCCAACCCAAGCGGTCACCGTCAACGTGCAAGCTCAAAAAATGTTGGTATGGATGTTCCATCAACACAATGCGCCTCAACAACATATGAAGCTTCCCATGGCTTGGAGGGCTCTGAGCGAGCCACCGCACGAAGTAGAGGCCAAGGGCAATGGAAGGTGCCACGAACAGAATGTGTCCTTCATGATTGCTTCTGAGCTTATCCAGTGCACATTGTGCAGCTATGAACGTCTTCCCAGCTCCTGCAGGGGCCGATATTATTATGGGTTGAACGACTGGATGCCTCAAATACCCGAAGGTACCGGACACCGCAGCCAACGGGACATGATCAATTCATGTTTTCACGCACAGTGGCCCTGACCCGGGCCATGTGGTGAAGAACCGCTCTATCATATGCATCACACCCACGTGTGGGCCAAGCAAGACGATTTTGCAATTCATCTTCAGGGACCTCAGGGCGGCCGGAAGACAACTGTTCGGCGGAGCAATGCCAGGAGAGATGTTCCCAGACAGGTGGGATTTGCTCACCGCAAAAGGGACATTGTTCCCTCACTTCGTGTCCACGCATCTTATCATAACATGCCGTGGAATGCGCAGAACCAAGCATTACGGCCCTCTGATGACTATCACACGTGAGAGAGAACAACTTGCGGGCATCGGAAACACGACTTTCCTCATACGGCACATCAAGCAAATAATGCCTATCACGGCGGTTCTGCTTTTTCCAAAGGGCAAATTGCACTCGGCGCCAACTTTCTCTCACCTTGTGCTCGGTGAGTTTCACAACAGCTTCATCTGGATTGGATAAATCGACATGACCCAAATCCTCATGTGCAAACATCCATGGACCGCGAAATTCCCAGTTCAGCTCTCGCATGCGTGCGCAAATGAAACTCTGCCAGCCTCCAGGTCGTGGCATCCTTCGCCAAGGGGCACGAACTTGGCGCATGGTCCGAATGGAAGACATGGTGGCCCAAAACTCAGCATGATACATATGACCTACAAGCAGGTTGAAAAGAGGTCTCGAAGCGTTACCTTGCAGATAGGAAATGGCATGCCATGCCTTTCGAAGCGAAGGCAACTGTGACTGCGGCAATCGTTCAAACCAAGCGCCCCAGGTGGCGAGTGAAATGATTCTGGACCTGTACAAAGACATCCTGATATCGCGGGCAACCGGCAATTTCTGCAAACGGTGAGCGGCAAACACTGCTTCTTGCAAACGGTTTTCAAGAACAGGGGAAACAATAAGGTCACTTTCCTTAAAGTCAATACCTAAGACCCGAGTGGCCGGTCGGAGATACTCACCAAACCCTGCGTCATTGATCTCTTGCTTTTGTTGCGCAGTGCAGGCAACTAAACGCATTTTTTGAACGTTTTCATGGAGACCCAAAGTGGCACTCCAGCTGCGCCATCTATGGATGCCAGCAATTAAACGTGGAACATTAGGCGCGCTCAAAGCGCGATCATCAACGTATGCAACCTGACGCAAGTCTGGAATGGAAGACACATCATGAAGGGGCCTAATGAGCAACATGATAAGAGCCAGAGGTGCAAAGGCATCACCTTGCGGCATGGAGGTCTGGACATGCTCCGGCGTTGGGTGCACAGCTTTCCCCAAGCACAGCCATCGCACTTGATGACCCCATACAAACATCAAAATGTTAGCCCACTCATCTGGCAACCCTTGCAGTTGCATGTTTTCAATGGCCAAACCTGGGTGGACAAAATCAAAACATTTGGAGAAATCTAAAGAAGCAAGAACTTCCTGGTTTTCAAACGCTTCATTGAGTTGCCTCCATGCCGTGGCAACCCCCCGGGATTTCAAGCCTCCATGGCACTGCTCGGGGACCCGAGACGCAATCCATTCCTGAACCTGTGGGGTCCTCACATAAGATGAGGAGACCAACCGAAGAAAAATGCTTTCAACTGCAATAGGCCGCAAAGACCCTACAGTCCCACTGTCATCCTTTCTTAAATGAACCTGACGAACCTGCAGCCATGCCTGTGGGAATTGTTTTAACTGAGACCAATGCAAAACCAAATCACGGTAGTGATCCCAAGCAACAAGCGGGAAATGGCAAACTTCGCTGCCGGACCAACCGTCACATCCGGCTGCAGACCCCGAGGCTCTGAGAGCGGCCTGATGGATGAGGGCAGCATCTGGCATCCAATCAGTTTGGGGTCCAGCCAGGGCTTCCATTGTTCTAAATTCCGGGGGTAAGTGTGGAACGAGGTCATCACGTTTCCAAATACGCTGCCAAAAAGAACGAATACAATCAAGGGTTTGCGTGATCGTGGCGCAAGAATCTTCGGAAACAGAGCGTGGTGTTGGAGGTTTGTGAGGCTTCATCCACCGGGTCACCTCTTTGCCCCCCTGGCGCATTCTGGTACGCCACTCGGTCAGCCTTTGGTTCTTGGACTTCCTGTTTTCAAGCGCAATGCGTTGTTCAAACACTTCAATAGCGTGGTTCCAAGACCCCCAAAGCTCATTGTATTCAGACGGCCAAGTCGACCATAATTTTTGCAAAAGCTTTTTGTCTCCCTGGGACTTGGCTAACTGTCGCTTCACTTCATAGAGACGACCAAGCACATTAACAAGTTTTCTGGCAGGGAACGTATTCACCTGGGGGCGTTCAGCCTTGATCACACGAGGCAAATTCCCGCGCGCATGGCCTGGCCTAGGCACGGGCTGGCCACACAAGTGCAATGCTTCACGCATGCTCTTTTCAGCAAACTGGTGAAAATATTCCCAATCTTGGTCGGGATCCTGAGAAAAACATGGCACGTAAGCGGCCCATTGTTCTGCAAGCACGGCCCGCCATTGCTCAACAGGCACTTCCGGAGGACATTCATAGTTAGGCCGCCAAGCGAACCTCCACGTATCAGTCTGGAAAATGGGCAAGCGCAATCTAAGCCAAAACATCTTGTGATCAGAAATCTTACATTCACTGTAACGCGGGCAATCAGCAAAACCGTACCCGCCGCTGAGAATTCCGTAATCAAGACATCTTTTACCTTCGAACCGGCTAGGCACCCATTGATCAGGATCCGTGACAGCCAGAACACTGCCATTCAAGAAAATGGATGCGGCGTTGTCATCAGTAGTTTCGTTCCAATCACCTACCCAAAGTGCAGGTATCTGCCTGCGTTGTGCTTCTTCAGTGACCGTAGCAACATATTCCAAAAATTGCAAACCATCAAGTTGGCTTGGCCGGCGCCAAACTGAGGAAAGTAGGCACGATTGAAGATCCAAAGTCATGACATACCCTTCATCGCAAGCCAGTGTGTCCCAGATGCCTCCTCTGAGATGCTCTCGCAATGCAACCAAAAGACCACCTCGGTAAAATTCACGTTTAAGTGTGCGAATAGGTTTGGCCGGAATGGTCCAACACTTGTACCCAAGTTTCTGAAGCCTTTCAACATACTGGGAGCCTTGACGAGGCTCGAAGTCAGGCTCTTGAAGACATAAAACAGAAGGCAAATTACCCTCATCCTGAAGCAAGTTTAGGCCCCTCCAAGCATTGCACGATCCACGGCAATTCCACGAGAGAATCCAGTGGTCAGGATGGCCTGGGCCTGGATGGGGGTGTATATTCTCAGCAGTCAAATCGCGTTTCCATGACTTAGGCGGCCACTTCTTGCGCGACTTTTTCTTGGCGCTAGCCCAAGCATCATCAAGCTTCCTACGCTCAGTAGCACTCAAACGCCAAGCCTTGTGCAGCGCCTCTTGGCGCTCTTTGGGAGCCTGACGCCAGCATTTTTGGCGACCAGGCATGGCTAACCACTCGGCACGAGCAGTCCGCCCGCCACAAGGACCTGCAGCTCTCACGGACTTCTCAGTTTTCCAGTAACCAGCACAAATGGAACAAGCATGCTGAGCCATGAAGAAAATAACTTTTTTCGACCCACCAGCCAATTTTTTCGTTCCAGTAGTACGTCTCTGCACTTGGGATAGGGAGTGTCCTTGCTCCTTGGCAAACTTGTTGAGTTGCACATACATCTGGCGATGCTTCAGCTTCCAAGGCAAAATGCTTCTGTGAGGTACATCAGGTGACACGCTTGCTCTCTTGCAAAGGCGAAGAATGGAGTCGCCTCTGGTGGCCCCTTTTGGGGCCTTGGCGCAGGAGCGCAAATGAGCAACGATTGATGCTTTCTGATGTGTCTTAGGCAAAATGGGGAGGGTGCCCATGCAAAAACCACAAGTCCAAGAAACAGCAGCATGAGTGGGCCCATACGATACGGCAGTAACCGGAGCCCTGTACTGATCAACAGCCTTTTTAAAATTGGTGGTTGGGGTACCACGATGCGTACGCCTAATGTGATCCGTACGTCTTTTTGAAACGATGCATGCTTTGTCAGTGAAAGAGACATTGCAAATGTGACATGTCCACGTGATTTCCCGGTCGCGCCCAGTGGCAACAGACGCAGAAGCTGATGCGGCAGATGGGTTGGAACCACATGGCTCGGCTTCTGATTGCTCGGTCTTTTGACGGCTCGGTTTGGCCGTTGATGCAAAATCAGTCAGACATGCACTCCGTTTGGCAGGGGTGCTCTGGGCAAAATCGGTCAACCTTGGGCTTGGCCTGCTGGATTTGGGAGTTGCAAATTGTGAAAGGCAAATAGAGGCATTGTCGGCAGCCAAGCGTGCCTTCTTTGCGGCCCCGCGGTAACCCTTGGTGCCACCGTCTTCAGCATTCTGCCACAGGGCCTGAATATCTGCGTCTGAAGGAACAATAAGCTCATAATGTTCATCCTTGTACCAGAGACAGACAACATCCTTATCGCCATGACTATTAAAAGCATGGACAACATTGTCCTTGGCATGCACAACAAGTACAGGTCGGCGCATGGCTTCGCCATATGCTTCGATTTCACAATATCCCGCCCAAGCTTTATCTTTTTCAAGGGCTTGTAAATAATCGTCAAACCCACCCTCCATGGGAATGTTGCTCGGGCTTAAACCGTCCCAGAAATCCTCGTATTTCTTGAAGTGTTTGGTCATGTAGGCAACAACAAATGCACGCACCTGCCTGTGGCTGCGGGACTTACCTGGGGTAGACTCCGCCTGAGCTAGACAGTAAAACAAGCAATTCCCTTCCCCAGGGTTCGGAACTTTTTGAAGCCTCTCGGGCACTTTCATCCTCTTTTTGTCATGACCAGTTTTTTGCGGGCTGGTCAACATGGCCTGGTCTTTGCGTTTGGTGCCCTGGACATGCATGGGCTCATCCTCAACATCACTTGCATCTGGGACGCTAATCAGACTGACATCCATAGCTTCGTTACCGCGATCATCCTTGGAGGGTAATGGAGGTGGACTACTTTTCGGTAAGGCAAGCGTGGTTGCAAAGTCAGGCACTTCAAGCTTGGATTTGTGCTTGCCTTTTCCTTTGCCTTTACCCTTACCTTTTTTGTGAAATGCATCTAGTGAAAAGAGCACATCATTTTCTGCTTTCAACGGCTGGACATTTCCTGGCGCACGTCGTTTGGACTGCTTAACTAAAAACAGATCTAATGGTGGCTCATTGCACGTCTCGTCCGCATCATAATGGATTTGCATTTGATCACGGTCATCATTTCTCATGCCTTTGAAAACCCAAGCAGTGCCACCACGACGGCGTTGCTTTGCTAAAATATCAATTTCAGAGAAACCTGCTTCAACCAGAGTTTCTTCCACATTTTCAAAATCCCAACCAAACGGCACTGTCTCAACCCGCCAAACACTAGAAGTGGGTTTGAGCCGCTCATCGTCTGGTTTGACCCTGAGAGCCAGCTGTACACGACCCCTAGCCATGCCAAAAGGACCCGAATCATGAGCTACGCGACGAGCAAATGCAATTTGTTGTTCATTTTCCAGTTTGTCCACCCAAAGCATGCGTGGAGGTGTTTCTGCGAGGCCATCCCATCTGGCAGGATCAAGAAACCAAACCTGACCTTTGTGTTCTGAGCCGCTCGCTTTAATCAACTGCAGGGCCCTGTCTTTGCCTTTGACGCGAGCAAATCCTCGAACCAGGTTTTCAGCCTCGAGTTTTTGGAATCCCCACGTGTCACCAAGGTGAAGCAGAAGATCCCTAGCGTTTGGGCCTAAATCAGACAGCCACAAACGAAAAAATTTCCCAGGTCCCTGTGTGATATGATGGCGATTGTCACTGGCAATAAATCGCATGTCACAACTAATTCGAAAAACAAAAGACTCTTCATGGCCGTGTTTCTGGACAACAGGCCGCCTGGCGCCTGTCAGCACGGATCCTGGAACCAATGTGGGTGCATTTGGCGAGCACCGCGCAATCCAAACCAAGCGCTGCACCAATTTATCATCGGCATAACCAGCTGCACGTGTGTTCAAGGCTGTCCAACCATGATATCTCAATTTGCCAAGTTCTGGAGACATGTTAGGTGCAGCTTCAAGAACAACCGTGACATTGGTGCGACCAGCAGCATGAGAAATTTGGAGGGCTTCATTCCAATCATCCAGATTTTGTACTTGACACAGGAGAGCACCGGTGTCCCCACTGTCAAGAGCGTTGCACAGAGCTGTGGGGCCACGCAAAACAGTTTTGACGCCCCAGTCCTGGGCACGGGCTTTCCAGGATCTGTCGCGTTGCCATCGTGTTTTTGGCTTAGGAGCACCATCTACCAAATTTTCTGAACTTTTGAATCGTGTGCTTGGTTTCACTGGCGGGACCGCCTCATGCGGCGGCAGATCTTTCTTTCTCTTGTTTGGTCGCAACATACCACGTTCAGTAACTTGAACCAATGTTTTCAACCTTTGGAGCAACCCTTGTGGTTTCTTTGCGGCTCGGGCAGTTAGCTTTTGCAAGGCTTGAATCAGCCCATAGCTGCCATCATGGTTCGCATCTCTCTGTTTGGAAGGTAGGCTTTTACCACTACTTTTGCCGGAGCCCTTACCCTTGCCTTTTTTGTTTGAGGCTCCGGAGCTAGAGGCCTGCAAAGTATCTTTCAACAAAATCTGCAAACCTTGCAGCAGTTTCTGTTCCGGTGTCTCTGGACTGTTTCTACGACCTCCCCCGCGGAAGGAAGATCTGGGCGGGGAGGCTTGCGAATGCTCAGGCATGTTTTGACAGAATGGGCAAAACTGCGCACGTACGCAAAAGGACAGGAAACGGCCTACCCTATTAAACAAACTGACTCTTGGCTTTCGGATGCACTTACGATGCAATCGGCAGCGCTTTCGGCCAACTCTTCTGCACTTGAAGACTTTCTTTGGCCTTGCATTCAAATGGTGAAGTGACAGCATTATCCTGAAAACAGCTAATGTCACCAAATCGATGATGTCAACCCCTAAACCAATCAAAAGCAGATTCACAAAAGAAGGTTCAGTCAACAGCTTTCGGAAAAGAAAGCGATGACCATGATCTTGCATGCCAGATGACAGAACCACAGCAGCGCTTTCTGTGCATTCCATGTGAGGAACCGATGCATTGAAAACAACATTCGCATGAGCATGATGCCAAGGAGTGCTATTCCACAACCTACTATTCTCTTCTTTCCGCACATCAGGACAAGGACCTTGTAGGCCCCGGCGAAAACGAAAGAGAGGCTGGTCGGATTGGACAAACAAGTATGCAAGCAAAATACGACCGCGGCATTTCGCAAAAAGTGCTTCTGCATGTATGCAACAGAAGCATCATGTCTGGTTTGGAAACTCCAAATGACGGCTTGTCTGAAACATCGCACACAAATTAAACTGAGGCCTAAACAAACAAGATCGGCACCTGTGAATTGAAACTGCTGGCACCACTGTGACACTGCAGAGACAACCTCAGCAATCTGAGGCCTTTGCGTGACATGGCAAAGAGATCGGTTGCAGAAAACCAACCCAGAAATCATCATTGTAAAAACGCTCCCCCATGAAACAAGCTTGCATGTCCTAGTGGAGCAAAATTGCCAAAGGGTCACGAAATAATAAGACATCATCGCCACAGCTGACAGCAAACCATGATTCCAAGTTGGTTTGAAATCCGTGTCAACCATCTGCGCAACGCAATTCACCGGTATTTTGAATCCAGGAGTTGCCTGAAAACCATCCACGGTGTGTCCAGAAACACACGAAGCATGAGTCTGCAAAATCATGGCTTTGACGTGGAAGAATACAAAAGCAGCAAAGGAGCCCCAAAGGTCCCACAAATGCATCCAAGCAGTGGACCACATAGCCACGAAGCGCTGATAGAACTTGAAGCTCCACGGTGACTCAAGCCAGCAAAAACAAGCACAACCTGTAAAAATCACCATAATCTTCAAGAGAGGCCACCACACTTTTCTCCCACACACAGTTTTCCTCACCAAGTTCACGATGTGGAAAATCCGGCTCCAACTTTGCATCATCCATTCAATCTTACCGGCTTTACTGCACAAACGTCTTGAAACCGCAGCCATACCCATACACACACCAGAAAAGATTGCAAGGACGTCAAAATTCAAATTCAATGCAACGAATTGATAACTCACGAAGTAGCTAGCGCAAAAAAAGGGACAGTGAGTAAGATGCAATACACCCGGCATTGCACAAACCATTGTCCATCGTCATCTCTGTTCATCTCACCTCCGCAGCACAGGGCCAGCACCGCCAGCATGGCTTTGAACAAGCCCGCCATGGCTTTAAAAGCGCGCCCGAAATGCCTATTTGCTTGGCTACAAACCTTGAGCAACGGCTTGAGCCAAAATGGCTTGAGCCAAAATGGCTACGGAAAGAACACTACCTTGAGACGTTGTCTCAACTTCACCGCCTGTGCCACCTGTTCCTTCCATGTGTGGAACCATTGGCACCCCCAGGAGGCAACTCGGCCACTGTCCTCCCAAGCTTTTCGTGCTTTTTGTTCAGCTTCTTGTTTGGTTTCCCTCGTGGCATCTACGCGAACAACGACAGTGTTGGTTGCCTCTGCTTTCTCTACCTCTATCTTCATCTCGTCTTTGCTGCAAGATGCTGGCAACACTTTCAAGTAACCAAAGGTTCTAAAGTCCCGCTGCCCATAAATTGTGTGGCAGTAGCAATCACCACTAGGACCTTTGTGGTGCATTCCCAAACCATCAGCTGGAGTGCATAGGAACACGCATGCCACGGATTGTCCGTGGTGTTCCTTGATCAATGCATCCCAACCGGCTGCATATTTGCCAGGAAACGACACGTAGCAGTCCAACCCTTCTTCCTCCTTGATGTGGCCGTGGTAGGCGATGTCCGCAGTTCTCTCCAAGATGGCTGGCTTGTCTCGCAGTGTGAAGTAGAGATGAGGTTCTCCAATCTCAGCCTAGGCAACAGGGTGAGAGTTTTGCTGCTCATGCACTGCAAGATTTCAGAACAATTCCAAGATTTCAGGTACTGGAAAGCCAGTATACTGGAAACACCTGGGAAAGGTTGATATCAAGCCTTAAATTGGACTGTTCCGACACAGAAGGCCACATGGTGAACTCCTTGATCAACAGGATTTAACCATATTTAACCGCTTAGCCAACTTAGCCAACTTGGCCAACTACACCATCACAGGATAAATTGGATAAATGCTTGCGGAATCTTGCCTGTGCAAGGGCGGTCCCCACTGCGGCCTGGAAAAATCATGGGGCACGGTGAGGGGCATGGTGAAGCGGCTGGCACAACTGAAATTTATGGATTTGATGCCCCATTTCCGACTCAGAAATGCATCTTTCTCACCCGGCAAAAAAGATGCATTGTGCACATTCAACCTGAGAAGGGGGGAACGAAAGCCAGCATCCCATCTATCCCTATGTTCCCCAATATTTTTCACCCAGAGACTCTTCACCCAGAAACTCTTCTTGCACATACTTTTCACCAATATACTTTTCACCCAGAGACTCTTCACCCAGAAACTCTTCTTGCACATACTTTTCACCTATATACTTTGCACCCATAGACTCTTCACCCAGAAACTCTTCTGCACATACTTCAATATACTTTTCACCCATATACTTTTCAACCAGAGACTCTTCTTGCACATACTTTTCACCCATAAACTTTTCACCCACAGACTCTTCACCCAGAAACTCTTCTTACAAATACTTTTCACCCAAATATTTTCACCCATAGACTCTTCACCAAGAAACTCTTCTTGCGCATACTTTTCGCCCATATACTTTTCACCCCGAGACTCTTCACCCAGAAACTCTTCTTGCACATACTTTTCACCCAGAAACTCTTCTTTCACATACTTTTCACCAATATACTTTTCACCCAGAGACTCTTCACCCAGAAACTCTTCTTGCACATACTTTTCACCAATATACTTTTCACCCAGAGACTCTTCACCCAGAAACTCTTTTTGCACAGATTTTTCACCCACAGACTCTTCACCCAGAAACTCTTCTTGCACATGCTTTTCTCCCATATACTTTTTACTCAGAGACTCTTCACCCAGAAACTCTTCTTGCACAGACTTTTCACCCATATACTTTTCACCCAGAAACTTTTCTTGCACGTACTTTTCACCCATATACTTTTCACCCAAAGACTCTTCACCCAGAAACTCTTCTTGCACAGACTTTTCACCCATATACTTTGCACCCAGAGGCTCTTCACCCAGAAACCCTTCTTGGACATACTTTTCACCCAATGTCCTTCTCTCTCCAATCTCCTCTAACTAGCTGTTCCATCTATCTGTCCATTGACCGCGCCCAGAAACCCCCAGAAAATCGGACCTAGGGGGAATCGATACCCACCGTCACTGTTTTGCCGCCTGGTACATTACCCTGTAAAACCATACTAGCGTCAGACTAAAATTACAACCTATGTTCCCGATTTTTGACCCGTTTGGCAACTACCCCCCCCCCAGATCCTCTATTCTCACTTCGTTCGCAAATAGCAACTAGCCAGCTTCCCGGCTGGCTTTCGTAGTAATTTAGCAACATGCATCAACAGGATTTGTCAAACATTCACAACTCACGGAAAAAAAAGGGATCCCAAGAGCCAAATTATCATTTCTCGGAGTTCTTGTGCTGACGTTTGTGGATATAGGAATCCTAAAACAGATTATAACGTTGGATACTTGGGAACAATGAGGTACAAATCATCAACAACATCCTGGAAGTTATATAAATCATATCTGTTTAGGGGGGTCCTGTTAAGTTTGCTTGTCATCGCACCTCTCTGCATTGCACTCGCAGAATGGGCGCCTCTTCTGGGAGTTGCGCTTGTGCCTCGTCCAGGAGTCTCTCTGCCTCTTCAGCTCCGGCCTTCCAAACTGGACCAACCAAGGTCAGCCTAAAACGAATCTGACAATCTCTGATGATCTCTTGTATGGTGCCTCTTCTTTCAGTTGCGCCACCTCTTCTTGGAGTTCCTCCGAATCGTGAGCACTGTTGAACAATGGATCTTCGCAAATGCCGAAGACATGTTTTATCCTCGGTTTCAAACACATTCCAGTATTTGGAATCTGGCAGTGTTTGGTTTTGAAGTCCACGAAAAGTCTTGCTGTTTCGCTGCGGTATCGACTGCATCGAAATCTGCTTCACGCTGCAGCTCCTCCACTCTTCTCCGCAGGCTGCGGACCTGGCACAGCACTGTACAGGATGCAAGGCAGAATGCCACTTCTATCATCCAAAAACTTCTGACGCAAGCTGCACCTTGAATCCACAGCAATCTGGGTTCACCAACAAGTTGCATGCTAGAAGACAAGGCAAAAAATTAATGACACGTCCTCCTACATCATACCCAGCAAACCCACTGTTCAAGTTTGAAGGTCTGACTTTGTCCATGTGTGGCTGCGTTTCTTCCGGTTTATACTGGAAACATCTGGGAAGAATTTTGGAGAACCGACCTTAGATGAGGTTCCAAATTGGATTGTTCCAACACGACAGGAGCTCTGAACTTCATCCATCTCCAGATCAACGGGATTTATCCGCTGAGCCGACTACTATCACATGACAAATGCGTGTGAATCTTGATTTAAATGGTGAAATTCAAGTTGTAGGGATTTGTTGCCTCGTTTCCTGAAAGCTCAAGCACTAAAGTTCAGCACTCAACGGCATCTGCATTTTGGAAGAAGAAAATCCAAAGAGCCGAATCACTTCGACATTTCTCAGAGCTTTGGCGCTGACGTTTCAGGATATAGCAACGCCAAAATAGAGCCAGAGTTGGATACAAAGGGACCATGAGATAATCATGGATTTATCTTAAATATATTTAAATATCGATTTGGGAGTTCGTGCAGTTGAAATTTGCTTGTCATGGCCGTCATTTATCTGCACTCATCTGTAGACGAAAGTGACAACCACTGCTCCATTCAGCATCCTTTTTAAGTTCAACCTAAAAACAATAACAATTTAAATCTCGGGATCTTGGATGGGCGCCTCTTCTTGGGGTTGTTCTTGTGCCGCCGACTCTTGAGCTCCAGCCTGCCACGACTGCTGCAATAAGTTGTCCCATGTTCAAATACCGATGTCGATCCTAAAATCGCTTCAAATGCACGGGCATTTTTTTAATACAAACTAAATCTCTGGGCTTTAGGTGGAACTTAAAGTGTTGCCGAATTGCTGTTCGATGTAGTCGACTAAGCCCATCGCAACCTGCGTCCCGGCGAACAAAAGTGCCTCCAGCTCCTCCACTCTTCTCCGCAGGCTGCGGACCTGGCACGGCACTGTACAGGGTGCAATGCAGAATGCAACTTCTGCCATCCAAAAACTTCTGACGCAAGCTGCACCTTGAATCCACAGCAATCTGGGTTCACCATCAAGTTGCATGCTAGAAGACAAGGCAAAAAATTAATGACACGTCCTCCTACATCATACCCAGCAAACCCACTGTTCAAGTTTGAAGGTCTGACTTTGTCCATGTGTGGCTGCGTTTCTTCCGGTTTATACTGGAAACATCTGGGAAGAATTTTGACCTTAGATGAGGTTCCAAATTGGATTGTTCCAACACGAAAGGAGCTCTGAACTTCATCCATCTCCAGATCAACGGGATTTATCCGCTGAGCCGACTACTATCACATGACAAATGCGTGTGAATCTTGATTTAAATGGTGAAATTCAAGTTGTAGGGATTTGTTGCCTCGTTTCCTGAAAGCTCAAGCACTAAAGTTCAGCACTCAACGGCATCTGCATTTTGGAAGAAGAAAATCCAAAGAGCCGAATCACTTCGACATTTCTCAGAGCTTTGGCGCTGACGTTTCAGGATATAGCAACGCCAAAATAGAGCCAGAGTTGGATACAAAGGGACCATGAGATAATCATGGATTTATCTTAAATATATTTAAATATCGATTTGGGAGTTCGTGCAGTTGAAATTTGCTTGTCATGGCCGTCATTTATCTGCACTCATCTGTAGACGAAAGTGACAACCACTGCTCCATTCAGCATCCTTTTTAAGTTCAACCTGAAAACAATAACAATTTAAATCTCGGGATCTTGGATGGGCGCCTCTTCTTGGAGTTGTTCTTGTGCCACCCCTTCTATGAGCCTCTCCGACTCTTGAGCTCCAGCCTGCCACGACTGCTGCAATATGTTGTCCCATCTTCAAACACTGATGTCGATCCTAAAATCGCTTCAAATGCACGAGCATTTTTTTCATGCAAACTAAATCTCTGGGCTTGAGGTGGAACTTAAAGTGTTGCCGAATTGCTGTTCGATGTAGTCGACTAAGCCCATCGCAACCTGCGCCCGGCGAACAAAAGTGCCTGCAGCTCCTCCACTCTTCTCGCAAGACTCGGGACCTTGCAAAAGCGCAGCAGGACATGGCACAACCCACTAGGTTCAGCATCAAATTTTATCATCCTGGAAGACTAGGCTACACAATATGACCAGGCCACTATACATGACATCCCCCTGTTACCCCAAACCCAGAAAGCCCGAAGTTGCAAGAACCCAGAGCCTGACTTTTCCTCTGTGTGGCTGCATATCCGCAACAATTGCTTCTGATTTGCCGATCATTAGATGTTAAATTGTCATAATTTTTCACTGTACAAAATCCTGGACCTACAATGACCCACATGGCAGGCCGTCCCGACATTTGCAAGATTTCGCCTCGGCCACACCGGCAGCCACAAAAGCATCGACGCCTGCAGCCTGCCCAAGGTTGAGACCAGAAGTATGAGACTCTCAGATTGTGACACCCAAATACCCCTAGCCAGAAGTGAAAGTATATTTATTCTATAGTTTCTGAGTTTCTTGGTGTTTTATTTATGAAAGTGGTTTATGTCTTCTGTCCAAGCAAGCACTAACATGCTGCGAAGAGGGTTCGCGGAAAATGGTTTATATTGCTTTTCAATGTGTTTGCATTGGCTGCATCACCTTCAAACATCACAACGGTCCTTCAGAGCTCTTGAGCATGTATAAAGCTTTAGGACTTAATACCATTGTGGTTTTCTCTTCATAGTCATCCTAAACATGTCGGTGGTGGGTTTGGTGATTTGGGATCCAGGGTAGAGTTTTTTTCCTCTAAATGCGTCCATCACCCGAGGGACACCCACAGCTGAAAAGGAGATTATTTTTCGTCGGAAATGTCACCAAAGAGGCTTAATAGCATAAACAGTCCAAGGTCCAAGGCGTAAGATGTAGAGATTTTTTCCAAATTGTAAGACAACATCATATGCTTTTGAATATTTTTGAATTTCCTCGTGTGAATACTTTCTTGTGCTGCTGGAGTGATTTCAGAGCCTTGGGAGTTTGGGGAGCCCGTCTGTCCGTTTTGGTTTGTAACTATCGGACGCGAACATTATTCTGGGTGACCACAAATTGCAAAAAGACTGCAAATGTCCAAATATCTCCAAATATCTCCAAATATATCCAAATATCTGGTGTTGGCAAACAATAGGTGAATCATGTCTCATGTCAAACAAATGAGGTGTTCGATTCTTACAACTGCTGATCCTAGAGACTCACGCTTCTGAGATGTCGTAGGTCCTTTTGACGGTGCACTTGGCCTCCTCAGTTGTCAGCTGAAATGCTGGAACGGAGCTGCCGCTACCCATGGCGATCAGAAACCTGAAGGCGACATGGGTGTTTCTCTCTCAAGTTGGTGCTTTCTTGAAACTGTTTTTGAGAGATTTTCAGATGTCTGGTTGTGTTTGGGGAGTTGGAGCCATGGGTTTGGATCTAAAAGGGTTATTGGAGCAAATAGATTTCACACCTCTTCGTGTGTATACTGAAAAATGCTCAAGATATGGATGCTTAATTCAGAAAGAACGCAGCCACGACCTGTACACAGGCAAAATTGATACATGAAGAATCATGCCTGATGGAAAAACTTAACAATCTATATACTGCCACAGCAAGGGCTATGAGGCCCAAAAGAACTTGTGATTTTCTTGGTTTAACAGCCTAGGCAGCCAATGCATTTTCCATCCACCTTTGATGATTCCCAAGCTTTCTGTGCCCCCCTCCCGGAGTCCTGCAGTTCCAGTGAGGAACCTCAGAAAATGAGGCTCACCAAAAGCGCCAAATGTTCAGGCCCGAAACTCAATTCAACAAGAGAATGTTCGGGTACAAATATATGTTTGGTTATATTTTGTGAGTTTGGATTTGCGATTTGTTTCAGCGTCTGGTGGAGTATGGTCTCTTAAGCTGAGGCCAAGCGCGGACAGGCTTGGCAACAGATTGGAGAAGGATTGGCAGCGAGAACAAGGAAATGCCAATGACTTTGCAAAGGCAACGTTCCTGACTTTGCAATCTTTGATGCGTAAAGTCAAGTTCCTATTCAACCCTTGCCACTCAAGTTTTGCTGTGTTCCCTGCAGAATGTCTAAGACCTGCCCATTTCACACTCTGCTGGTGTTTGAGCTGAAAACTGAGCCATGTGAACTTTCAGGAAAGCTGACCCTAACCTGCTCAGATTTGATCTTAACATCTAGGACCAGTCAATGCCTCATTTCAGCGTCCATTAGAGAGACATCCACTGGAGGAATTAAACGCCAAAAGCATGACTGGATCGAACTTTTCCACGGACTTTCTGGTTGAGCTCAAGCACAGAACAGCTGTACACTACAGTAGCACACCGTTTGCTCAGCAATTAGTTGCCGAACACTGACTCAATCACATCATCAAACATCCTGGCACAGCTGGACCATTATCACAGTGCTTGAATTGAAGTATCTTGAACGGATTTCAATGCTGCCGAAGAACATGTACCAAACATGTGAATGTGAGGGCTGCACGGTGGTGGAAGCGATCAAACACCAACCTGATCAACCTGCTCTACTCGACTGTGTGCAGCCAAGATGCCGCACCCTCCAAAATCTTCACAACTTCGTTGTGGCCCCGTCTTCTTGCATCGTCCAATGGAGTTCCGCACTGCGATCAATGCACATGTCAACCTGATGGGCTCGCTACGTGTCACTGCCTCTGTGATTTCAAGAGTCACATTAACAATGCTTTTAGCTGGAAGATGCTGGAAGCATTTAGGTGCATACAATCAGTTTTGAGGTTAAAGTTTAAAACATGAAGAAACGTTTGCCTTCATCGTTAGTTGCAGAAGAACCAGAATCAAAGACGATATAACCATATGTGCATATAGGTGCAATGTCTGTTTGATTGGAGTTCCATCTCGATGGGGAGAAACTTTGCCTGAATCCCTTTAATCTCTTTGGATCCCTTTGGCCAAAGGTTGCCCTCTATGGAAGTCTATGTCGTGAGCCTTTCCCAGAGTGGTCTTGGATTGTATCAAGGGATAAGTTTGACAACACCAAAGTGAGGAATGCAACACGTTTACTTCGCATGTGTGTCTTGTGGAAGATGTACGTGAGAAAATGCACGAAGTGCTGACAGTAGCTAAGGTTTCATGAAGGTTCCCACAAGCCGTGGGAACATACATAGCGGAAGGTTGTGAACGTGTGCCCCGTAATACCATGTGTTGTATCACAATGCATTCCAATGCATTTCTAGGTTCAGGAAGGCTCTTTAAAGGAAGGGATCTAAAACCCACGAAATCGACAGACGCTGGTCCCAACAGTAGATGGAGATGAAGTGACACTTGCATTCGCCTCAACTATTGACTCAAAGTCGCGGTTCTATCCAAGACCTGCCACCCCAAATTGAAACATGTGAGTCTCGCCTTCCGATTGCTGATCTCAGACTTGTTTGCGAAATGCCGGAGACTGAATCCACGATGTCATGCTGCTGCAACTGAGTCAGTAACTGACACAGTCCGTGCCCCGTGGTGTGATTTTTTTAATCAAAACTTTTGAGCAATTTGATTCAAATCCAACAAATCTTGCCAGGACTTTGGCATAATTGAAGTCATTTCAACTTATTTCTCAACTGATTTCAGGTGATCTCAAGTCATTGGTTTTTGACTCTTGAGCTTTGCAGTGGAGGTGTCGTCTTCGGATGTGACTTGGCACCTCGATGAGACGAGCGAACTCGATCTGTCGCAGCGCTGTTTTTCCGGCACCTCCGGCGGTGGCCGAAGCCTTTTTTACACACCGGGCCTGTGAGTAATGCATAGGAACACACCATACAAACACCATATACCATACGATTAGTAATGCATAACGTGATAATAGTCATATCATTATATCATGATTTCATGATTGCACCTTTTGTAGCCGTTTGTTTCTTGGAGTGAAACCACTGCAACAAAAATAACATGGTCTCCCCAGTTACTGCGGTTAAAACGGTTACATGTGGCCATCTTTTCATGGAGGGGTGAATGGCAAACGGAGGGAACTGGCTCCAAAGCAGCTGTGTCCCGATCTATCGTAGTGAACCAGCACACCCAGAAACTGGTTGGTGGTTAAAACTCCAAAACCATTCAGATTTCTTGTTGCTCACATCTCAAACATGAACAGTATGGTTTGAAAATCGTGTTTTGGTTGTGAACTACTGCGATTTTAGCAAAGTTTGATGTTGTTTGGATATTTCATTTCCAAGACCAATGGGTTTAAACCTAGTTACCTTGGTATCGAAACAGCTGGAAACACATGGGATTTATGCATGTCCATCTCCCCAAAATATGATATTTTTCACATAGCTTTAAATCCATCCCCATTTTTTTATATAAAACAACCAATATAACGTATTGAGAGATGAACAATACTACTAAGTACTACTATCCTCATTATACTGCTTCATGAATATCCCGCTATCCCTTGTTGGACTAGCTCGTCATCTCCACTAAACCCGGTATTTTTTTTCTCCCCCAAAAAAGGCACATGGCTCAACAAGGCTCCCCTTACCTTCAGGAAGTGACCATCAAGACCTCATGCTCGACGGGCCTGTTGCTGGAAGACGAGGGCGCAACTGGGGATCTCTCTGTGAATCAAACTGTTCCTGAAATTTACATGGAATTTTGCGATTCAAGCTTTTCCTGATAAAAAACCATCGATATTCTGAAATCATCAAAATGTTGAATTTAGCTGCGATTCTTATTCTTGGATTTATGCAATAAGACTCCAAACATTCCACATGGAACCACTACAAAATAGATCAAAATAGCCATATCCAAGAGTAAAATCATGTTCCAAAGATCATGTGGGATCCATGTTGATTCGGGGTGTGTTTAGGTATTGATCCACAGCCGGCATCAGAACATCATGGAAACCAAGGTTGGCCCCACCTGTCGCACACGTGCCATCTGTCGTTCCAGTTGTGCACAACGATCCTGATGGATTGCTCATGGGATCCAGAAATCTTGGGGGTTGAGGGTACGGTACAACCATGGTAAAATAACCCCCATAAGTTCGGCTATAAGCCGTATAACTACGGTTATATATCCACAAAAATAAGTGGAACTCCACTTCCACTACGATGGCGATTGAAGATCTATGTATTTCTTTGCCCTTGAATCTCTGTTGGCATCGAAAACTCAGCTGATTGGAAGGGCGTCCAAACTCTACAGGTTTGCCCAGCCCACTTTCTGTCCTCAACAGGAGACACAAGGGGAGACTCTCTCCGTTCCAGAGCCGCCTACGACACGGATCCATCAAAACGCCTGATTTTTTCGTAAAGATTCAACGGCTGAATTTGGATTCTTTTCACGATTGCAAACGATTGCAAACGATTGCAAACAATTGCAAACGATTGCAAAGGTTTCAACTGAGGCGCAAGATACTTGCCAGGGCAGGAACGCAAAATTCCTTATACAAAGTCAGCACGAAAAGTAACCAGGATCAAAACCAATCATTATATAGCTGCTTGAAGTAATTGCACAGCAATTGATTCAGCAGTTGCAAAAAAGACCTCCTGCTCACAGGTCACATGAGCAGTGCAAGAGTGTCAGTAGAATTGCTCGGTACAAGGTGTCGTTCATGTTCGGTCTGATTCACTGACTGCGCTCAAACGAGACAATGAACATCATGACCCGCTTCTAGTTGGTTGGAAAAACAATTTTTTAAGGCTATTAGTTCGTTGCGTCTTTCAACTGAACATGCATTGCGTTCACTTTCACTCTTGGCTAAAGCACCGAAAAACGCCGAAGTAAATGGCCAACCTGTAAAATCCACACGGATGCGCCCCTTCAGAGTTGTTTGCACTGCGTTGCAAAGAACTCTACCACTTCAAGCATGATGTTGAGCTGTGTGGCTCCAACTTGCTGGGCTAGCCATCTTTTTGGTCCTTGTTTCGTGCCGGTGCAATTATAACCACAATTCAGGAGAAAGAATAGAAACATAATTGCGGGTTTGTCCCAAAATAAGGTACCCCAGAGTCCAAAAGTATCCAACAGCTTATCATCATGTTCTCCTGACCCTAGGGGTCTACCATGGTCTACCATGGTCTACAAGTCCATCACGTCCATCATGTCCATCCTCCCATTCGACAACCGTTGCACCTGAACCTACTGATAGTCACAGTTCGAAGCTCCTGGAGAATGTCAAGGATGGAGATCAAAGGCCCTGAGCACCCCAAACTGGCACTTTATCGTCTCTTCCATGCAGCAAAGCAAGGTGATAGACAGTCACCGACTGGGTTCATTGGGCTAACCTCTGGTAATCAAACGTGGCTGGGAAATCCCCGATAAATAGAGCTTTAAAAGATAAAATCATCCACATAAATGGGGAAATTTTCGTGGCCACGCTTGATTACCAGAATGTAATGCAAAGCTGGAAGAATCTTTTGCGACGAGACGCCACATCATGAATGAAGACTTTTGCCTCATTTTGATTCATTTTGCCTCTCTCGCATACGGGCGCAGGAAAGACTACCCGGAGAGACCCGGAGGGTGAATAGGTTCATTTCTGATCATGGACTGAGTCCGCACGTTGTGATGTACTGCGGCATGCAGTTCCAAGCTGCAAAACTGTTGGAAAAATGATCAGCGGCTACCGACAAAAAGAGCAGAGAAGCTCGAAAAGCATAAATGTAAAACCTGCAGGTGTACGATTGCTTGGCAGTACGATCGTTCACCTTGTTAAACAGGCAGAGCAAAGAGGCAGAGCACAGCACACTGGAAGCAAGTGGTCAAACTGCTGACAATGGCAATCTCGAATCTTTCAAGAAACAACACTTCAAGATCAATCTCTGCTTGCTCAAGCCACATGTCGCCACATGTCAAAAAGGTTAAACTTTAGCAGTGACAAAATCGGAAGTTCCAACCCTTTGGGAGCCAACAAAAGACCTGTGCATCAGAGATTTGCACAGCCTCAAGAGAAGTATCCTCGGGCAAGGGCAGGATCCTCGCATGCACGTTGGTGCCGGAAAAGCCGAAGCAATTGACGCCAGCAGCGTTGGCATCTGCCCTCAAAGCCTGGCAGTTTTCGGACAACATCAATGCTGGGGCCAATTCGATGGATAGATCCGGCCGCCAAAGGCCCGCACCATGAGGAAACATTGTGTGCTGCTGGACCACTTTCACCAGTTTGATGAAGCCTGCAAGTCCAGCCGCAGACTCCGTGTGATTGATGTTGCCCTTCAAGGCGCCAAGACACGTGAGTTGTGAACCAAAAATGTCACCCACCGACTTGACTTCGATGGGGTCACCAGTAGGTGTTCCAGTGCCATGGCATTCCATGGCGCCACAGCTGAGACCGTCCTGCCACACCTTGGCCATGCACGCTTTCTGTTGCTCCACTGATGGCTTGGTGATGGGCGATACGCTCCGGCCGTCGGAGTTCTGGAAAATGCCGGCCAGGAGCGCGTGTGGCTCAACCTGCGAGGCACCCATGGCCATCATGGGTCTCAATGCGACAGCAGCAACTCCCTCGCCACGGCCGTATCCATTGGCTTCTTTGTGGAAAGGTTTGCAACGATCACCTGACGTCACAAGGTCGCAACTGACACAGGCAACAAACTCATCTGACAAGTGCAGAAAAATGCTGGTGTTTTCACACCTCGCAAACTGCTCTACAAGATGTGCCATATGTGTTTTGGATTTTGTTCTGCCCTTTGTTTTAGAAACCGTCTTGAAGAACCAGGTCTCTCAGAAAAGTAGTGTAACTAGCGCCTTCAGCCAAAGCCATGCAAAAAGCGGCCGACTTTTCACAATGTTTCACCAAGTGTTGAAAGGTTTATATATAATAGAAAGTGCCACACGTGTCTCAAGCAGTGTTTTACAATGTTGTACTGGGGCTCCTGCGTGTCTGAAAAGCCGGACAGAGAGTTTTGAACCATCGTTTTGAACAAATGTGTATCTTCCGAAGAACTTTTCAGCTTGCTTGATGTAGTGGTTACGGGAGGGAGTAATGCAACATGCGCTGTGCAAAGTGGTCTAGTCTCTGTCAAACTGCTTCAAACATTTCATTCATGTTCATTTTGCAATGCGTATTGCCGTGTGTTCCATTCTAAGTCACACATCGACGCAGAAGGCAAAGCAAAAGGTTCAGCTAACACTAGAAACACTTCGCCATGAGATATGACTTGAAACAACTCAGAAGAAGCATGGCTGCATCTCTAAAGCAGCGTTCGATACCTGCGACATCGCACAATCTGTTGACAATTTCTTGGAAACCTCAGCGGCTGACTGATCATCTTTGCCTTCTCAAGTGCCATGGTTATCTTGGGGAGGCCAATCACATTCACACCTTGGTCATGCAGTAAGCTGTTGACAAAGCTTCAGTCTCTGGAAATAAACCTACAACATTCATCAACATTGGATTGTCTCCTACAGTTCCATTAAATGGCACATCAACGTTTTGAAAAAGTTCCGTTGCACTGCCATGCAATCACCAACATCAACTATCCAATGGCAAGCCATGGCACCGATCGATATGCCAGCTGCCCTGCCTTCCAGCAAGCATGAAGAAACAAACTTCGTAGCGGACAGCGCCGAAGCGCAGGCTGTGTCAATCGATACACTGTCTCCAGTCAGGTGCAGCATGTAGCTGATCTGCCCGTTGATCATGGAAGAGGCGTTACCCGCTGCGGTGTAGGTATTGCAAGATTTCTCATCCCACCTAGCAAGGAATGATCCAGAATATGTGGACGTGGTGCTCATATTCAACAGAAGTTGGCAAAAGAGTACTTTGATATCTTTGCTGCAAAAAAGACTGGCCGCCTTCACCCAACAGTCTCGACTCCTGGCAGTTTGATTTCAATGAACTGAGCCAAGGAGCATCAAGTTGCTGTCCAAATTCATGACACCAGCAGCCACAGCAACGTCAGTCAACTTCTAAGCACGAAAACCTGCTGCACTGTATACCTCCCAGGATGCTTCCAGTGCCAGGTTCTGCTGCGGGTCAGTGACCTTCTGTGCTGCGGGCTTGAGCTGGCTGAAAATCGGATCGATGTGAAAAGGCGACTCGGCCAACCAACCGCCCATGCTGGGCATGTCGTAGTCCTTGACATCCCAACGATCCGCCGGCACCACAGTGATGCAATCTGTGTTCGCCTGCACGGCTGCCATGTTGGAGATCTCCATGCCGGGCAAGCGACATGCCATGGCCACAATGACAATCCTTTGGCTCCCGGGCACAACGCCTCGGAGAGGTTGCTCGCTGCCAGCGACGTCAGCCATGTCCATTTGGATCAGAGCTTGCAGCTGGTGGTCGCCGCCGTCGCAAGTGAACTTGAACTTCCGGTATGAAATGGCTGCCAGATATGTAACAACATGAAATCAGATCCACATCTATGATCCAAGACCCTTAGCAAAGAATCCATCTGCATATCAATGGAGCAAACGACCAAGAGGGCAGCGTTTCAATTTCCAAATTCTTGAAGTGAAGTTAGAATGCAGGAATACAGCCAATCAGCAACATTTCCAGTGCAAATTGAGCATGCAAAGTGTTCATTGCTCAAATGGAGCATTGGGTCATGCCGCGCCTGTGGATGGGCTGGGAATGTGGACCGGGCGACGGGTCCCAGCTTTGAACCTAAACTCAGGCTGCGCTCAACTCTCAGTTGCAGCCTGCAGCCTATGATGATAGTGACTTGAGTGACTTGAAGAACGTGGGCAAACGATTTCGACACTGGGATGTGTGAAACGCCCGATTGAACCACTGGTTTCAATGACGTGTTTAGTCAGAAGCGTGCCACCACAATCGGTTCCAATGAAATGCATGAAAATTTGCAAAACTGCATGAAGCCCCCCACGGTCAGTCGTAGAATGATGACTGCGATGCGAAAGCTCAACAACTTTGATGGCTCTGAGGCTCCTGCCAACAGCTTAGATGGATCGAGTCTCGAGGGTCTCGTGGGTCGACCAAGCATCCTCTCGGAAAGTGACAGAAAGGTCAGGAATGATCGTATGAAGCTCCACTCATTAGCCATGAAACCTTGGCTAACCTTGGGGATAAAGCGGTTTGGCCAGGCTTTGCCAACAAAATATAATTCCCAACCCAAGAACGTCGACAAGGAGCGTGGGCGTTCAATTTTTTTCGGCTACAAAGTGTGGTTGATCTCTTGGACAATTGTATCATCCTAGTTTTCACTATGGATGACCATGGTGCACAAGGAATTTCTTGTCAAGTTTCTTGACACTGGTGAAACAGGACATTGTAACACCACTAGTCTCATCAGGTTCACGAAATGGTTTCACCATCATAAACCATCTATAAAACCGGAATGGCTGGCGATTCAGCGTCTCCGATATAAATGTGAATTAACAACTGAAACTAAAACGCAACTTCCGCCATTGCTTCAGAGACTTCAGAAGCCACTGAAGACACATGGCCAAGGTCGAGCGCCTGACACAGGTGAAAGGTCTTGATAATATTACAAGTGTGAGTACCGTATGAGGCGCAAGTAGATTCAATGGACATGCTCGTTTTGATTCGATTGGCTTTGTTTAGCTTCTGGATAGTCTCATCCGCTCTCTTTAAATGTAAGAGGATCATGAAGTATCTTTACCACCACTCCAATCCTTGCACATACTGATGTTGCTCAATCTTCGTCGCTGACTGGATTCCCTCACATAATGCATCACAAGCATGAATCATGTCAGAGATTAGTGCCCTGATGTGACTGATCTGCACACTTTCCTGGGCTACCCTCCGGTAATCACACATGGCAATGGGAAAATCACCTTTTTTGTTGTAGTACGGCTTGAAATGGCCATTTAGGTACTTCCCAGCCATGTTGTGATGGTAGTTACTCGAATCTGACATGACACAGTTGAGTGGCCTCAGGTTCTTCCACCAATTTATCTGCACATTCGGCACCAAATGTGGCCGGGTCAGCTCGATCCGGATCCACCAATTGATCGTCGCGCTCGTCACTTGAGGCCGCAGCAATGGAATCCTCCGGGGCACCCGCATCACTTAGGGCAACACCAAACGCATCACTTCAGGCAACATCCAGAAATCACACACTCCTCACACTTTGGACGCTCACTTTGGGCAACACGGATTTCATCACTTTGGGCAACACGCCAAACATCGTTCTTATCATCATTACTTGACTCAGCCATTTAGGTTTTGGTTCAAGGGGAGGGGTCATTCTACTTACACCACTACGTGACTCAGCCATTTAGGGTTTGGTTCGGGGGGGGTCATTCTACTTACATCATTACTTGATTGAGCCATTTAGGGTTTGGTTGGGGGGGAGGGGTCATTCGACTTACATCATTACTTGACTCAGCCATTTAAGGTTTGGTTGGGGGGAGGGGTCATTCTACTTACATCATTACTTGACTCAGCCATTTAGGGTTTGTTTGGGGGGGAGGGGTCATTCTACTTACATCATTACTTGACTCAGCCATTTAGGGTTGTTTGGGGGGGGGGTCATTGACTCAGCATTTAGGGTTTGAGGGGCCATTCTACTCACATCATAGCCATTTGGGTTTGTTTGGGGGGGAGGGGTCATTCTACTTACATCATTACTTGACTAGCCATTGGGGTTTGACTACTTACATCATCTTGACTCAGCCATTTAGGGTTTGGTTGGGGGGAGGGATCATTCTACTTAGATCATTACTTGACTCAGCCATTTAGGGTTTGGTTGGGGGGGAGGGGTCATTCTACTTACATCATTACTTGACTCAGCCATTTAGGGTTTGTTTGGGGGGGAGGGGTCATTCTACTTACATCATTACTTGACTCAGCCATTTAGGGTTTGGTTGGGGGGAGGGGTCATTCGACTTACATCATTACTTGACTCAGCCATTTGGGGTTTGGTTGGGGGGGAGGGGTCATTCTACTTACATCATTCCTTGACTCCGGCATTTAGGGTTTGTTTGGAGGGGAGGGGTCATTCTACTTACATCATTACTTGACTCAGCCATTTAGGTTTTGGTTGGGGGGGATCATTCGACTTACATCATTACTTGACTCAGCCATTTAGGGTTTGTTTGGGGGGGAGGGGTCATTCTACTTACATCATTACTTGACTCAGCCATTTAGGGTTTGTTTGGGGGGGAGGGGTCATTCTACTTACATCATTCCTTGACTCAGCCATTTAGGGTTTGTTTGGGGGGGAGGGGTCATTCTACTTACATCATTACTTGACTCAGCCATTTAGGGTTTGTTTGGGGGGGAGGGGTCATTCTACTTACATCATTACTTGACTCAGCCATTACTTGACTCCATCATTACACCATGAGCCGATCTTCTCTTGCACCTGCACACCAACATGATCTCACGCTATCACCATGAACATGAAGAAGATGAAGATGAATAATACTCGGAGGAAGAAAATGCTTATAACAAGGATGATCATGAAGATGATGATGATGATGATGATGATGTTGAGGTATCCCGAAGCGATGCATGAGGCGTAGCCCGAAGCGATGCACCCGACGTATCCCGAAGCGATGCCTATGCCTCCTCCGGCTTGAGATTGGAATTTGGGCAAGATATGGCAAGATATGGCAAGATTGCATCAAAACTCAAAAGCACCGAAAATGGATTCACCTGTCTCCTTGGTTTGGGAAACACGTGTCCTGATAACGGTGGCATCGCAACGCAATCTCCGCCACCTGCCTCTGCTGCAAACCTCCTGATGCCAGCGGTGTAAAAGGCAAAGCCAATACCGTGCGCAAGTTTCGAAGAACCTTGGGTTGAGCGCAAGGTTAGACAGGTTATGGTATAGTACTTAACAACAAAGCTGAAAACATGTGCATGTGCGTGTGGGGTCCTCTATATATGCAGACTATGCACACAACACTGCTTAGTACTCGAGCCCTTTGATGCAATAGGTATCAATAGATATCATAAGGTCCCGATCATAAACTAGGACCCCTGAGTTGAAATCTCGTAAACAATGTAACAAAGAGGTCCAACAAAAAACGAATCTCTTCAAACTTTAAAGTCAAAGTCGGAGGAACTTGCTCTTCGTGAGCACCAGGACTGCCGCAGTTCTTCAGCAAGCCATCAATGCCTGGATAATCGAAATTGGCGTCGGCAATGACTGGCACCATTTCCAAGGTCCGCCGAGAAGCAGGACAAGCTGTGGAGGCGGAGAGCAGCAACTTGTTGAAGTCTTGATCCAGGAAGATTCCCCGAAAAAACAGAACTAGCAGGTAGTAGGCGAATCGTTTGAAACTTGTCATCTGGTACATCCCATGCACAACAGCACACTCAACATTCAGCTCAACTTGCAGCAGGTGCTGAAAGACCTCGCAGGTCGATAGAAACTCAGCTTCCAGCAAGGAGCTCACGATAAGAATGCGAGGTCGTGAAAGATTCGAAGGCCTCCCATGGGAAGACACGCCGCAAATATTCAGCAGCTTCACAACTGCATCCTCGCGGCTAGAAACCTAACAGCGCCAGGTGAAGTTTCAGCAAGTTTCATGACGTCATTCATGGTTTCATGGTCATGGCAAACTATAACATACTGTAACCATGTTTGTGATTGTTTGACCATGATAACGAGCTTTCAGCTGCCAAAACCACACACACCAAAATGCACATCAAATCCATGTCTCAACAAATTAAACTCGCACACTCTGTCTACAGCCTCTGTTTCCTGAGCCCTGCACTGGACCAAATCGGGGCATCTGAAGAGAAGTCAGCTCATGCTGCAACCATCCGTATGCCGCATTCACATCATCCATTTCCACCCCATAACTTGCCAGCTGAACCTTCTGGTGAGGGGTCCAGAGTGTTGGGATTAGCTTTTGTGCCTCATCGGAGAGTGGTTCAAAACCATCACAGACCAACGGTAGAGTGGCGATCCCATTCTTCCAGGCAGTCACAATTTCTCCGGCACACCAGCTTCTGGACAATAGTTCTGGGGTCAGCACAACCACCAGGTTTTTGGTTGACGTTCGTACGATGTCAAACAGCATGTCCAAGTTTTCCAACTCATCACTATCCAAAAACACTCGAGTTGATGAGTGCTGACTAATCAGGATCTTCAGCAAGCGGCTCAGGCTGCCCCCACCGGCCTTGTGATGGCATAGGAAGATACCATAAAGCTTTGTATTCCGCTGAAGATGCTTTAGGGCCAACTTTGCAAATCCAACTAAAGCCACAAGCAACATGGAAAGAACTGGTATGCAAAGAAGCCAGCCAAGCACTGTTGCGGACTGTGTCTTGTCTGTCAGTAGCAAGGGCCCAGCGCTCAGTAAAATTACCAGAAGAAGGTCGGTCAAAAGAACATCCACCAGATTGGCCAACCCTGTGCGCCATGGAGCTGTGTGGATCTGAAGATTCTGGACGGCAATCAAGATCATGCCCATGAGTGGCACTTGAACTTCCGGAATACCAACCAGAACAGTAGGCATCAGAGCAACCAAAGCATTACGATAGAGCAGCACCAAGCCGTAGTAGTACGCATCAGGCTTAAATCGGTGGAGCAGGAAGCGGTATCGAGTTGCGAAGCGCTGCCCCTTCCCACTGGCTACTTGCGATGGATAGCTGCAAATGACATAGGTTGCCAACCCAAGGACGGCCACAGGCTGAGTCACTATTCCTCGTCTCAACTTCACCGACCAAAATTTACCCAAAAGGGTCCCCTTTGGCCCCACAAAGACTACACCTAAAACAATTTCAACCTTGCAGCCAGAATTCCTGCAACTGCAAGCCACACGAAAAGTGCATGATCTTTCGACTCAAAACAAATAATGCCCGGGTGCAGCAACATTGAGCTACTTCCATTTGGGCTGGTCACACACTGAAAAGGAATCAGTGTGCTGCGGGTGATGGACAGGAAGAAAGCGAAGATCAACAATCCACACTGGTTCATGACAGTGTTGAATGGTTTGCGCCGCCCGAGCATCTTGTTCAGCACCCAACTGCATACTAGAAGAATGCAAGCAATGGGACATGTGAGCAGGCGACTGACAAAATACAGCACTGGACTGTCTGTTCCAAAGAAGCAAGAAGTTCGGACGAAATGGAAGTCGAACATCATGATCTTGGTGAGGTCGATCAATGTCCTTACTGGTTGCTGCCATTGGATTGAGAGTTCCCGGATGGAACCCAATGCCTGCATAGCCATGATGAGCTGGCCGGTGACTGAAGCCGCCGTCACCGTGTTCAAACCTTGAAACTCGGTCCGAGGTGAACTGGGTGAACTGCACTTTGCAAAGTGTATGAACATTGACTCATGATAACTCCTTAACATAGCTTACGTTGGCAAACACTACCGAAACTAAATATGCACTTTGCAGGTTTCCGGGATGCGGAATTGCTAAATTGTCTATCAAATTCTTGGGTTTCTCAATCAGCAAAGGAAGCTTAAAAGTCTATGTTTCCATGTAACGGATATTCAAAAAAACACAACCACCACTATCACAACCAACATTATTTCAACCACCACTGAAACAACCACCACCACCACCATCACAACCACCACTATCACAATCACCATTGTCACAACCACGACCATCACAACCACCACCATCACAACCACCGCCATGACAACCACCACCATCACAACCACCACTATCACAACCACCTCTATCACAACCACCACTATCACAACCACCATCATCATAAACCATTGTCACAACCACCTCTATCACTACCATGATTATCACAATCACCACTCAACCACCACTTTCACAGCCACCGCAGATGATCTTAGGGGTGAGATGATCGCAGAATGAGTGAAATTGAGAGTGAGATGATCTGAGGGTGAGTTAAGACGAGAGCGAGTTGAGCTGAGGGTGAAATGATCTGAGAGTGAGTTGGGATGAGAGTGACTTGAGACGAGAATGACAAGATCTCATCGTGATTTGCGATGAGCATGAGATAGCGCATGAAAGCTGCGTTTTGACATCTTCAACTTTCACTTTTTGACTGAGGGAAGTCTCGCACGAAAACTTCGTTTTCACATCTTCAACTTTCAGTTTTTGAAGGAAGCCCCGTACGAAAGCCTTGTTTTCAGGACTTCAACTTTCAGTTTTTGAGGGAAGTCTTGCACGAAGGATTCCTTTTCACATCTGCAACGTTCTGTTTTGAGGAACGTCTCACACGAAAGGTTCGTTTTCAGAACTTCAACTTTCTGTTTTTAAGGGAGGCCTCCCACGACAACTTCGTTTTCACATCTTCAACTTTCACTTTTTAAGGGAAGTCTCGCATAAAGTGCTTTTTTGAAAGATAGCCGTTTCAGTTTTGAAGGGAGGTCTCGCACGAAAGCATCGTTTTGCCAACTTCAACTTTCAGTTTTTGAAGGATGTCTGGCACGAAAGCTTCGTTTTCACATCTGCAACTTTCTTTTTTTTGAGGGAAGCCTCGCGCGAAAGCTTCGTGTTCAGAACTTCACGTTTCAGTTTTGAAGGGAAGTCTCCCACGAGATGCGTTTTTGAGAGAAAGCGGATGCGCAAAATGCTGCGTTTTGCAACGCAAAACATGCCTCAGAAGATAGATGGGAAAGGTCTGCCATGTGACGGGTGCGGAACACGTCTGGCTATAGGGCGGATCATTCTCGGATCAGCCCCGCATTGGAACTGACGGTTCAGACGTTGTTTTGCCAACTTGAGATTGTGAGTTTGTGACGGACGTCTCGCACGAAAGCTCCGTTTCACATCTTTAACTATCAGTTTTTGAGGAAAGCCCGAACGAAAGCTTAGTTTTCACATCTTCAACTTTCAGTTTTTGAAGGAAGCCCCGTACGAAAGCCTTGTTTTCAGGACTTCAACTTTCAGTTTTTGAGGGAAGTCTTGCACGAAGGATTCCTTTTCACATCTGCAACGTTCTGTTTTGAGGAACGTCTCACACGAAAGGTTCGTTTTCAGAACTTCAACTTTCTGTTTTTAAGGGAGGCCTCCCACGACAACTTCGTTTTCACATCTTCAACTTTCACTTTTTAAGGGAAGTCTCGCATAAAGTGCTTTTTTGAAAGATAGCCGTTTCAGTTTTGAAGGGAGGTCTCGCACGAAAGCATCGTTTTGCCAACTTCAACTTTCAGTTTTTGAAGGATGTCTGGCACGAAAGCTTCGTTTTCACATCTGCAACTTTCTTTTTTTGAGGGAAGCCTCGCGCGAAAGCTTCGTGTTCAGAACTTCACGTTTCAGTTTTGAAGGGAAGTCTCCCACGAGATGCGTTTTTGAGAGAAAGCGGATGCGCAAAATGCTGCGTTTTGCAACGCAAAACATGCCTCAGAAGATAGATGGGAAAGGTCTGCCATGTGACGGGTGCGGAACACGTCTGGCTATAGGGCGGATCATTCTCGGATCAGCCCCGCATTGGAACTGACGGTTCAGACGTTGTTTTGCCAACTTGAGATTGTGAGTTTGTGACGGACGTCTCGCACGAAAGCTCCGTTTCACATCTTTAACTATCAGTTTTTGAGGAAAGCCCGAACGAAAGCTTAGTTTTTACATCTTCAACTTTGACTTTTGAGGAAAGTCTCGCACGAAAGATTCGTTTTTGCAAGTTGAAGTTGCAGATCAATTGCTGATGCTTCTCGTTTTTGGCGCCTTTCATTTTCCTTTTACAATTCCTTTTTAAGGCTTCAAAATCGTACTTTTCTCGGCTTTGGCGCGGAGAAAATAGTTTTGGAGCAGATCTTGGCCAGGAGAAGCTTCTGTCTTGCCAACGTAATTCTATTTTTTGGCTTCTGCACTCTGGTGCTTGCAGGCTGCATTGGGGTGACTGCATCAACGTTGCTCCGCGTTGCTGTTGCGCATGTAGTTTCATTGTCTTTTGCACCTCGCTGCTTGCAAATCGCATTGGAGTGTCTGCGTCGTTGTTGCTCTATCTTGCTGCTGCGCACGTGGTACCTTTGTCTTTTGCCGCTTGCAAATCGCATTTTGGAATGGTTGCGCCGAAGCTGTGCCGATGAGTTATTGATGACGTTTCTCGTTTTTTGCGCTTTCCATTTTCCTTCTGAATTTCCTGTTGAATTCAAAATCAAACTTTTTGTGGCTTTGGCTGGCGCCAGGATCTGGTTTTGGAGCAGGCTCTGGGCAAGTGAGCTGAGATGAGATGAGAAGAGCTGGGATCAGCTGAGAAGATGGAAGAGCTGAGGAAGAGTAGATATGTGAAGAGAGGAAAGAAGAGATGAGAAGACATGAGATGAGCTAGAATAGAAGAGGTGAGACAAGCTGAGGTGAGATGAGATGGCATGAGTTGAGACGATCTGACATGAGCAGAGCGGCGAAGCGCTGAGAAGAGCTGAGCTGAGACAAGCTACGTAGAATGGAGAAGCTGAGGAGAGCTGAAAAGAGAAGAATTCAGATATGAGCTGAGAAGAGATGAGGAAGCCCAGATGACATGAGAAGAGATAAGAACAGCTGCGATCAGCTGAGAAGAGCCGAGATAAGGAGAGAAGACATGAGATGAGATAAGATTACATGAGATGAGATAAGGTAAGATGAGAAAAGATCCAACCCCGAAAAGAGATGGCGCCGGAATGAAAGGTCAAGAGATTGTTGCTCACAGAAGGCTTGGCCGCACCCAATAGGCACAGTCTTTGCTCCGCTCTATAGGCTATAGGCGTTTCAATTTTGAAACTTCCGCCCCCGGCTTGCCTGGGTACTACTTGTAGTTTGGTTTGAAAGCAATTGGTTCAACGGAAGTTGGAGGGACGATGTAAACAGAAGATAACATGTCAAGACATGTTGTGATCTCTTTGGGGCTTCATTGGGGCCATTGCAACATGTCGTCAGCTCCATCTCTGAACAGCTCTGTGCAACCTGGACGCTCACCTGGCTCGGGTCCCAGCGTGAAACACTGATGAAGAACAAGACACAAAGGAGGAACAGGATGAGCAAAATGACCGGCAGCGTGTCGCCCTCCCGGCACTGCTCGCATACTGAGCCTTGGGGATAGTGGCTGGCCTGGCAGTTGTTACAAGCTAGCCCCTCTCTCCCGACGGAGCATCTTCCTAACATTCCGGGAGGGCACTCAAACTGATCTCGGCAGCGCAAGACAGAGAAGTCGCATTGGGAAACGTTTGGGTCTGCCCAGAAACCACCCTGCTGTTCAGGAGGACCCAAACCTTCAGGGCAATACAGCCCGCTGGGACACGGTATGCAACCTCGCTCCCCGCACATGAAGGAATGCTCCGGACAGCGGCAGTCAGTCTCGCTTGTGGAACCAATCTGTGGAGTCATCTGCATCTTTCCACAAGGCAAACATTGAGAGCTCCCAGCTGATGGCATGTAGAAACCTGAGCTGCACCTGGTGCATGTCTCCATACCTTCCTGCGGCCCCTCAGTGCCAGGCGGGCAAGGAATGCATTCCAGTGAGCCTGCGTCCAGGGCAAAGCTACCTCTAGGACAGGGAGTACAATTCATCATTCCAATGTCAGGAGCAAACGCACCTCTCGGACAGGACGTAGGCAAAGGAGTAGACCCCCCGACGCAGAACATGCCCCTTGGACATTTCTTGCATTGTCTGGACTCCCCTTCCTGGTAGAAACCGGGGTCACACGCATGCAGTTCTGGAGGGGGCAGCATCCCCACTGAACCATCCGTCCACACCAACTGATTGAGAAATTGGAAATTCGCAGTGAGAGAGCTGTAGGAGGCTGTGACAATCGCCCTTGTGCCGCCCTCGCCCTGCATGTTAATGAGTTGATAGGTGCCAAAACGGTCGCCGTTCTCATCAAAACTGACCTCACCTGAGGCGCCGGTGAAACGCAATCGACGCATCTCCTCCAAAAGAACTTGGCCTTGTATCTCACTGGGATCTCTTCCCAAATGAAGAAGCTGGTTGATGGCAATGATGTAAGCATAGGCTGCATCAAAATTAAATGCATCACTTGGACCCATCTGTGCCGCCTCACCTGGCATTCAGTACAAATTCCCAACGAAAGTATTGAAAGAAGAAAACATATACGGGGAACAGGGGGGTGTCTTTTTTTTCGCCTGAAGACTTGGGAAATTGGCCAGGGGTAACCTAGCGCATGACTTGGGAAAGCTGGATTCTGAAAGTCGTCCGACAACTCTGAAATCATCTGAACTCAGCAAAGTCGTTCTTAGTATTGGGAAATTGTTTTTTGGTATGGGCCCCCCTTGACAAGAAGTATCATGAGAAGAGGCAAAGTTGGCACAAGCAGCTAGACGGAAAGCCTTTAGTTTGAGTTTGTTGATTACGCTATGTCAGTTATGCTTTGTATTATTGAATACCGGTAGTGCCGCACAAGGCGCTCGCGGAAGTCTCAAAAATAGGAAACCTATAGGAGAGGTGGGTTGTTGTGAATCACGGATGGCAGGGCGAATCCACTAGTGGGCCGACAGGTGGTTGGAGTTGGGTTTTTTGGACTGGTTCCAATGGTTGCAGTGGTCGCCTTACCACAACTGCTGGATGTAGCGTGGCGTAGTGCAGTTGTAGTTGCAGTTGTAGCTGTAGTTGTAGTGTAGTATGGCGTAGCGGACCTGTAGTTGTGGTGTAGTGGAGAAAAAGACGTTTGGCGAACCCGGACTTACTCAGGTTTTTGAGCCAAAATGGCACCACAAGCGGCCACCATCAGGCATCCTTTTAGTCACCCTGGGGTCTGTCACCAGTGCACTGAAAGGCTGGTTCAAGGCCGGCACGTCATTGGTGGGCTTGAGGGACTTCAGATTTCCCTGTGCCAAAATGGTCCACAACTCCCTGTCAGCCTTGATGACTTGCTCGCTACACACAGCATGATATCCAGCTGGGCACTCCCTAGTCATTGCATTCAGCATGTAGCGCAACCATGTTTCATGAACATCCCAGTCAAGCAAGCGGCAATTGTCCATCGCCAAGCCCCTACGTTGAAATGCCCACATCAATTTCAGCTCCGTGCCCAAGTCAGCTGTTGTAGTGATCGGCACCTGAGAAAGCTTGAGCGTGGCGTTCTCAACCTGGACTGTCGACGCTCAGGGTTTGATGTTTGCATGAATTTCATCATCACGCTTCAAGCACCTTGATGGCGCTATGCAGACTATCGCACCAGACGCAACAATAGAGTTTGCAAGGTCTAACAGTTGAAAACTTGGAGAAAGCTCACCAACCATTTTGACACCTTTCAAACGTTCTTGCTGTCTTTAAAGTCTCGCCTGTTTCTCAGCTGCCGGCAATTTTTTGACAAGTGAACTTAGGTCTGCTGAATCTGACTTCACTTGTTCGTTCAAAGTTGCAACAATCAAGGTCGCGGCTTCAAAATGCAATGAAACAAATGCCAAGTGTCATGGACCAACACGGTCGCATGAATCCACCTCGTGAACCAGAGGCGGAGGATTGAACAACCACTAACCACTGAAAGCTGAAAAAAGCGTGATGTTCTTCTTGCTTATTGACGCGTCTCTTGCCCTCCCTCTCTCTGCCTTTTCTTTTTTGTGTTCTCGCTTTCCCTGTTGATGGTTCTTTTTCCTTGCTTCATCTATTGTCTTCCCCAGCTAATATGGCTCATTCATCCCGTCGCAGTCGAACCGTGCCTGAACGTTCCCGTTCACGGGACCACAATATGTGGCAAAACCGCCCCACACAGCATCATGGTCGCCAATATCTCCCATGGCCTGAAGCAGCTCCTGCTCCTCGTTTCCGGAAAGTCTTAGCAATCGTGGACCTCCAAGCAGTTCGTCCACTCATGAACAAGACCCACGATGATTCGAGGGCTGCCACGACCTGCGAGGTCCTCCTACAATGTCCTGCTCAACACCCATCGCTTAGACACTTTCACGGTGTACAACCTGCTGTACTGCATCAGCCAACATATCTGGTACACGTGGGATCGGTACTTGCCCCCGTCATCCATGGACATTCGTTGGCAAGATGATACTGGCGACACCTTTGCTCTCCGGAATGAGGACAGGCTTGTGGCATACCTCCATGAATATCGCCCTCACTGGACTGAAGCCCAAGAACATAGTGAGATCTTGCCGAAGTCATTGCATCTCTTCTCAAAGGATGCATTGCTGTCTATTAAGGTCATGGCTGGCACAAGTGGCAACGCGATAGAAAGTATTCAGCTGAATGACACTGCACTGTGAAACATTCGGCAAAAGAACCATTTGTGATGACATCAAGTAACATGCACACATTAAACAATTCGCAACTGTTCACATGCTCATGTGAAGAAAATGAAAATGCAAAAAAAAACGCTGCAACACTCGATAAAGTAGGCTGCAGCCTAGCGAGCCACGCGCCAGACATCCACAATCTCCCAAGAAGGTTCATGTGGTTCTCTGCACGTGCAAATCTGACAAATGAAGCTCGAACTCTGCGAAGAAGATGAAAGCCTTATTTCCGAAACAAACAATTTTTGCTAAGTCAAACTTTTGACTTAAAGCAAAAAGGTTGCTCTTTACAAGGGCGCGAATAAGCGTGCTTATTCGCGCCCTTTGATTTCACCGATTTGAAAAGGAAATAAATGGAATCTGATTTATCTGCCATGCTCCATGACTGCCCACAAATAATCGCCCAAAGAATTTCCAAATCTTCTTTGGTTCACATTTGCGGCTCATGTTCACATGTGACAAGTTGAAATGAATCAAAGAAAAACTGTGAATATAAATCTGATGCCAGACGCCACCCTTGTTTTGCACTCGCACAGGCCTCGCTCTGATCCGGCCTCAAACGCCTAGGATCCAGCAAGCCTCTTAGCGCTTGGATGCGTTCAAGCATACACGGCACACCGGTGTGTCATACCGGATGGACATGTTTGAATTGACGTGAAATTGCCCAATCATCCTGTTGCACAAGAAAACGCGACGGTGATCAAGAGGGGCCAAGTGAAGTGTCTTCAGCTTCGAGTGCTGCCAGAAAATGAACCCATCCGGAGGCACTGGTGGCAGGAAGATTCTCTCCTGCTTTCTCTCCTCCTGGAAGTCCTCTGCAGAGCTGTCATCAGATGAACTTGATGCATCCTCTGCAGAAGTGTTTGCATCTTCCTCCTTCTCACTGACAAGGTCGACCAATTCAGCTGGCCCCATGCCCCCAACCTCGACCACTTTGTCATCAACTGACATGGGCCTGGTTGGCGCAGAAGCACTGGTCTCGCTCGAAGTGGTGAACCTTCCGCTCCTGGTGCAGTCTGGTCTGAACTTCAAATTCCTGATGTCCGACAGCACCTGCATCAGCTTGGACAGCGGTTCGGCCAAGGCATCTCGGGAGTATGTGTGGACCATGCGCAGCCCACTGTCACCCCCAGTGTGATACCCCAGTTGGAGGCGTGTCAAAGGGTCCAACCCATACTTGGCACAGAAGCTGAGGCACGTCGCCCTGCAACTGTGGATGGACACTTTGCGCTCCTTCACCACGTCCTTGGTGCCTGTCAGCACTTGTCGAAGCCACTGACTCGCCTCATTTGAAGACAAAGGTCTGGCACAGGGTCCACCGCTTGAATCAGGCGCTGGCATGACTACATGCTTGGGAGGAAGCCCCAAGTCAAGTTGAGCCCTGCTGTCCAACCAAATACTTGCCCAGCATTCAGATGTGACTCCGATACAAGGGGCTGTCAAGGGCAAAAACCTGTGCTTGAAAGCTGACGACCTCATCGTCTTGTGTGTGGAAGTATGTCCTTCCAGGAATCTGACGACCATCTCCTCGTCCCTGTCCACCACAATGTTGTCAACATGCATCAAGTCGGCCCATCTGGACCTTGCATAAGTTGCAAACAAAATTGCACCAGAGAAAACTGTCCCATGGTTCTCCATGTATCAACTTCGCATGTAGGATCCT